AAAACTCATAAAATGAATCAAAGGCGTAAAATTCTAATTCACGTTCACAAATTAAATCGCCCACGAAACGTAGAAATCCAACCAACCAACAAAATCAACATTGAAAACAAAATACCGAACGCACAAAAATACTCGAGTTAATAACGTCTAGTTAGAAGTAATAACAATACGTTAATTTATTCAGCACGAAGACATGAAAACAATCAAATACGTCGACGAACGGCACAATTTCATTATAAAAACTCCCGATTCACAAGCAGCACGACGAGATAGTCGAGATTAAATCGCACGAATCCTTATAATGAATAATAATGAAGTCGACGTCGAAGTGGAAGATATGGCATGGAACACTGCGCGCTCAAATAATTCCTCATCCTCAACGCGGTTGTAGAAGAAAGAATACTCGCAACGCGAGAAGTTGGAACCGGATTTGTTGGATGTCGGATATCAAAATGAAATGAAATTGAATGTCAGCAATCTATCTCGAAACTCATCCGAAAGGTGTGCGTTATTCTTCCGGGGCGATAGTTTGCGTTCCGGAGTTTAACAAACTTTCAACGTTTCCACATTTCAAACTTAAAGGAAGCGGTTTGACAATCTTGATATTCCATTGTGCTAGGCTAGAGCCCAGGCGTAGAATGACTCATAAGATGTGAAATTTTAGCGCTAATAAATCCGAGCGTTGCGGTGCCACTCTCAAGATGGAAACAAAGAAATAGATTGTAAGAATTGCAGGAATCAAGACACGAAAGACAAAATCAGAGTCTGTGCTGAATTCGGAACAGTGGAAGCGTGTAGATATTAATAAAATATTCAAATAAGCATCACAGAGAAATGTGTAATGATAAAATACGTAAATTGTGAATGAATGTGTAGATATTGCCTAGAAGCCGGTGTTTTCTTATACTTCATCAGAATATTTCAAATTCCGAATGTTTCGTTTCACTAACTTCGCTGGCATTGAAGCGAATTTTGTGATGATTAGTCGTACGAGTTTAATTAGATTTGTTTTTATTGTTCAGACGCAGTAACACGTTTAATGTGAGCTCATGTTGAAAATTGACTCACGTCGAGATGGCTTATCGTAGGTAATAACATAAGCAAATATTTCAACACCAAAAAAGGAGATTTTTTGCGTGAACATTGCAAAAAAAACCGTCATTGATTCCTGGCGTAAATTTCAACACCATTTGTAAAGACTTATTCAATTGAATTTGGTAGCCACAAAAATATTTCTAGTCCGCTAATATTAAATGACATTGTGCTAACAGTGATTCAAGCGAATTAAAGTGATTAAAAACACGCATTACAATGCATATGAACGGTGTGGCCGGTTGAATGTCCCGACTTCCAGCGGAAATCCATAATTTCCAGCGCACAGTGAGCACGCCATCATGCACGATAACGCATCGCTGAAATACTGTAAAAAAGCACCACAATACGCAAGCATTGAAACGTGTCGAAGCCGTGCGGTGCGCGCAATAAAATAAAAATGCGATTGAAATCATCGCCGTCGCCAGCACCCGCGCGGCGTTACTCTTTGCGAGTCAGAGTTCAGCTGGGCGGCATTCAACGTAACCATCATCGAATGTCGATCTCGATATTGATGTCTGATGGTTACGAGTGCCAGAAATTTTGGAATGTGAAAATATAGCAAAGGAAAAACCGTGCGGGGCACATTTTTAATACCAGACACATCTGTCGTAGCGTGTCGTGCTCGGAATCAGGGTGAAATGCCCACATCACAACGACCTGGCGGGTGTACAGAATGCCAGATTTTTCAGACACCACTGGCCCATTTTTGCCTGCCACTGAAATGACGCTGTATGTATTGATTATTGAAAAGGCAAAGCCAGTTTCAATAGACCCATGCATGTCTTCTTCACTTTGGCTTGGCGTTTTACGTCGGGGCTGAGGTTGGAGCTTGGAGCAGCTGTGCGGAAAGGCAGAGTAGGAATACCTAGAAGTGTGACCTCAAAAAACCGGAGCCAGGTAGCAAAAAAATCGTTGCGAAATTTATAAAACGTTTGACCTGTACTCGTAAATGCACCTCAATGTCTTCAAAAGATTATATTTCGTTTTCATACACGATAAAGCATGATGTGACGTGTCGTATACATAAAATGGTAATGTTTTAATAGGTAGATAAAGTAAAATATACAATTTATTGTCAATAATCAACCAGTCAGATAAGCAAAGTAAATAAAATGCAAGATAGATATAAGTGACTTATTCACAACTTAAATAAGTGTACGTATTTCACCATTGAATATATAACCATATATTAGTATTAATTTTTTTATTTCTCGAAAACGCAATCAATCTATATAAGAATGAATTGTTGTTCGTTAGTTACGCTAAAATTCGAGAACTTCTGAATGGATTTAGCTAATTATGGTACTGAAATATTTGTAAATGTCTAGGGAAGGTTTAAAAGATAAGAAAATATGGAGATATAGCAAGGAGAATACTAGAAAGGACAATTTTATTTTCCCGTACAAACTCCGTACGGGTCAGCTAGTATTTAATGTACCTTGAAATTCCGTCTGTATTCTCTGATGAGCCCGAACCTACGTGTATATGATGATACGCAAAACATATGTAAATATCACCTAATTTTACAACGTCATCGTCGTGTTTAATTTGTCGCGTTTTCCGCGCTCGCAACACTTTCAAAGCACTCGGCGCTCTTGTGCAGCTGCAGGAAGCGTTCGAGTTTATTTCTGTAACGTGCACGAAGTGGCATGAAACATTATCTGATGAGTGCATAGTTATTATATGCTAATTTAATTACGCCACGACACGGCGAAAGAGTTAAATATGGGCAGACAAAGACTTCGGCCGAGGAAGGTCACGAAACATAAAAACTTTAAGTTTTGCGTTAACATAATAAACTAAAAGAAGAAAAAAAATCTAAACATAGCTAATTACAAAAAACATTAATAATCTAAGTTTAATGGAGTTCTTTTAGAGCAAATTTAAAATCGAAACTGTGTCCCACATTTGATATATACAGGTATTTTTGTAATAAAAAGAAAGTGCGTCTAAGTAGGCAAACTTTTCCAATCTGTTAATTGCCGACTAGGTAAGGCGTAAAGCAAGAGTAGGACTAAACGAGGTGATTAAAACATCTTGCGATCGTACTTGCAATTGTAATTGCACATACATTAACATACAGAGAACATACAGAGTGTAACGGAAGCATAAAAAATAATTTAGCATTATATGTTACATTATTACCTATATTTAGCTGTACTGAATTACAGAAAATCATCCGGGGAAAAAAGTGGAAAAAGTGGAGTGGAACAATCTACGAGATCTTGAAGGCGAAGGTGCTGAGAGTGAGTGCTTCATCGAGGGCAAGATCACGCTGATGATGGCAATGAAACGCACGCATCACACGCGGACGCGCGGAAGCGAATATGAATAGTGTGGTCAGCGTAAGTGCAACTAGTGCAACTAGTTCTCGAAGGTCATAAATATTAATCTGGCTTGCAGGCGACTCGCACGCATATTCATCGGTAAAACCGAAGATAACGTGGAAGCCAAACAGAAAGAAAACAAAACTATCAAAGGCAGAAAGTAGTAACCAGTTAAAACTGCAACCAGAACGTTTATAAAGTTGAATATCAACAAAGGAAATTTAATATAAACTTTGTAATATTAATATTGTGATTTTCTACGGATATTTCTTGTTGTTTTATTAATAAAAATGTAAAATATTTGTTCTGATGTTGAAATTTTTATCAGCAGATACATTAGTCTGTTTTATCTTGAGATCGATGAAAGTCAAGATTTATTTTTATATTAAACATTGTTATGTTGTTAGAACTTCCACACATTCAACTATTCTTTATTAATTCTGAAATTTTAAAGATTGCTTTTCGCAGAAAAACTGGATCCAATCAATATAAAAACTTGCCAGTAATCAATTTGCGATTTAACATTGCAATTGATATTTTTAAAACGCTAAATTGCCGCTCAATCCGACTAAATGAACCGCCACACATCAATCATCATCAGTTCCCTCAATAAATTCATTTTTTTGTCAGAGTTTCCGGTCCATCTATAATTTTCTAAATAAAGCTCTAATTTAAAGTGTTCCACGCGTCATGAAATTAATTTCAACTAAAACGTAGCCCGAATGTAATCCGGCGAAATGTTTGTAATGTTTTGTAATGTAAATTACATATCGCAGTCGTTTGACTGTACCATCATACTTTTTTAGTACTTCTGTTGCCGATGGTGCCGGAATACAAATGAAACGCTTGCTGCGAACAGGACGTTGACACGCAGCTTGCAAGAGATATGAAAAACGTGATTCATGAATTGGCCTTGGTCAGGATTATTACTTGTGCTAGCTATGATGTGTTCTCGCATGTTGTGCGTACAGAACGCACAAAACAACGCACAAGCGAGTAATTTCATATCCAGCCGACAATAAACTACAAACGAACATTGGAAATCACTCAACGCGTGTAAAAATATGCGAAATAAAGCAAACATACAGAATATAAATGAAGGGCACTCAATTTTCAACAACAAAATAAATATTTGAATTAATATCAATCACACACTATAGATATACCAAGTTCAATCTGCGTAAACAAAGCTGTGCACCTTTGAATCATCTCCTCGAGTGGAATAAAAAACAACATTGAGTCTGTTCAGTGTTTACACAAACAATGAAATAAAAGCAACGGAGACAAAAGAATCGGAGAGCAAATTGAATGAAATTATAGCCAGTCGAAAATCTTATTTCGCTGAGTGTGCGCTCGACAGGTCGGGCACGTTCAGGCCAGGCGTGTAATAAAATTATGAATAATTTACTATACGAGAAGACAATGCCACACAACACGTAGAGTAAAGCGCAGATAATATTAGAGATAAACGTGCAGTTTGAAAATTCCGTTGACGCATTATTTGTTCAATATTTAATAGTATACAATGTGCAATGTTGATAGATAAACAAATGTTGATAAGAAGATTTTTTTGTTTACCGCTTTCGATGTACGGAACCAAAAATATGACGAGACCGATGAATCCACAGCGAATAACCATTTTCTATAATCCGTTTGCGTGCACAGTGTTGTTGCTGTTGCCGTTGGCGACGAAGATGCCTTCATGTAACGCAGCACGGCCACCACACGGCGGACAGCGAGGGCGCCGCGACCACAAACATAAAACAATCGCGCCCTCCTGCAAACACGCACCACAACGAAGCAAAGACCCGCAGCGCTACACCATCGCCAACGCGCACTGTGTCGATGGTGTTGATCTGATCCAGCTGACTGCTGTGCCTTCAGCGAACGCGCTCCGCTCGAAGAACCTTTGTCTGGCGCTCTGGCGGATGGAAGGCGGGCGCATGCGTTTGTTATGTGTTGTGTTCCGTGCGTTAATCACGTCTTCAATTCTAACGCGGTGATTCAATCGCGTGCACTATTCACACATCTCCTTAACACTCGCGGCGCAACCCCGTGAATTGATGGACGAATGCCTCGCGATTGTTGCTGACCGCCGGCTGGTAATGTCTGCGACGAGCGACGTTGACGCACGCACACCGCACGTTGAACACAACAGCGGCGAATGTGCGGCTGTGCGCGCCGCGTAACGATCAACGCGAGCAAGAACGAGCGCATCGACTCGTGGTCGGCGACGCATCGGCACAAAGCGCACAAAGCGAAGAATCTTCTCGCAACACTCGCAATTTTATTCACTCTCTACGCAGTGTGGAGCCATCTTGCGTCGAAATTCATAACTTACAATAATTCGATTATAAACAATTGCGGTAACACTTTGTATGAAATAAGATTATGATGTCTCATTAAATAAACAAACACTCATTTTATGTTTGATACTTGACGATAAAAATGATTCCTATGCAAAACTATTTAGTTTGGTTTAGTATGGGTTAGAATTATGAATGTTATGTTAAACATAACATAACAATTTAAATTTTTACTGTTATTTAAGTTATGCATAGTAATTTTACTCATTTCACACAATGTAAGGTGAGTTTATTATTGCCTGTGTCATTACTAAAATTTATGACTATTTTACTGCAGGAATATTAATGAGGAGTACAAATCAATATATACATACTTTGAATGTTTTTGTATATGTATAACAAAATATAATTATGCGTTTTAAATGATTGAAAAACGTAATATAATTTAAACCTACATTGCACATTAAATGCACAAATTATAATTAACTTACTTCTTGACAATTGGGACAGGAATTCTGGTGCCAATCAAAGTGCAAATATTATTTCTTATAGGCTTGACATGTTCAATTGATTCCTCCCAGTTTGTGGTGCTGAGACAGTTCTGAACTTCGTCTAAATTCTCCGGCGGAATCACGCTGTTGTCTCCATAGATCAAAATAGCTTCAAATAGCTTATTAGCTGTAGATTTTCGCACATACGGTTGTCGATGACAAAGCAAAATACTTAATTGGACCAAAGCTATTTTGCTTACTTCAGAATTAATCTGAAATGATAGATTTTTACAAAATTAGATATAAATTACCAGTTTTGCATGTTAATTCTTACTTGAATGTATTGACAGAAGAAATTAATTGCATCAATCAACTTGTAGATGTCTTTACAACCAGAAATTTCCAATTGAGACAACTTTAGAACCTTTTTAGCAAATTCAGAGCTTTCATCCTCAATTACACTGCTGATCTTTCCAGACGCAAACAGTTTTTCCAGAAATTTCAACATCGGTACGGAAATCCGATCTACTCTTTGGTGATCGATGAAGATCTGCTCGATTACATCGCATATTCGCACTAGTTCATTTACATTAGATGCATTCTTCTCCAAGTAGTTGAAAAATGAGTGCGACGAGCTTTTAACCTGAAATTTTCATAATTAAACATTAGAAAAACGATTTATTCCTTTGATAAAAACATACCAATGTCTCAGTCATCCCTCCAATACTACAAACAAGACCCAGAAGAATCTTGTAACTATATTTTGGGAATTTTACCAATTCAACAAACAATGGAAATGTTACAGTCGCTGAATTCCAGTTTAGATTCTCGCAAGTTTTAGTCGTGAAGATTTCCAACACTTCTTTGTGATCCGGAATATTTGGAATGTTTTTACTAATATTTAAAACATAGGTAAATGAGCGATTGTTATTGATTACATAATAAATATACTATTTACTCACCTGTGCATTATTTTATAAAATGATTTTCCGGCCAGAGACCTAGTACGATCGATCTTTTCTACGGTTTGCTGAGAAATGTTCACCACAATCTTCTCAACAAGATCTTCAGTAAGTAAATGAACTCGACTCTCTGACAATTTCATTGTCAAAGTCTGCAAACCAATCATAGCCGCTTCTCGCACCCAAGCTCCAATATCACCTCGATTATCTTGAGTATACTCCTTCATGCATATTAACAACGCCTCGAAGATTTGTAAAATGTGTTCATCCGTGTACCCAATATTTGAATGATTTATAATTCCAGTCAATGCACGAATTATATCTCTCCTTGCTTCAGCCCACTTCAATGTACTCGGTGTGATTTTCAACGACTTTAACAACACAGTTATAATTCTCTCATAATGTTTCTCCAGGATATAAATAGGTAAAGCACCTAACGCTAAAGCGTGACCCATCCGTACAATTTCCAAACTTTCAGCGCTTAATTTCTGAATATACAAATCAACAAGACTGCTTTGTCTTTCATAATCTTCAATGTAATACTCTTTCAATAAAAATGGCAATGCTTGAACCGCCGCCAACCGGATGTTCGACGAATCATAAGAAAGGCAGTCGTTCAACATATCCAACCACTCTTCTCTTACAGGTGCATCATGATAAGGCATATGTGCTTGCGAGCATTTCTCAATAAAACTGCAGCATGCAAGTCGCATCAACTCACCGCCCATTCCACGAAAATATAACCTTTCTTTGTAACTAGCAATGAGAGTCCTTGCAACTTCAATTGCACGCGAATTCATGGTGGAAACTTCTTTGTTGATACTAGCAAGACCAAGAAATATCTCCCCAATAGAGAGAATAGCACCATGCCGAGCATTTAGATCAATACTGAGAGTTTTTATTAGCAAGTTATCCAGCACGGTAGTCGCAATGTAATCAGCAGCTAAAGGTGTAAGATGGTTTAGAGCTTTACTAGAAAGTTCACGAATTGTCATGTCCCAATGTGGGACTTTGCGCTCAACCAAATGATTAATTAATTTAACAGTGTATTCTTCATATTTAGCGATGAAAACACTGATTGAGTGATAGGCATTTGTTCGTACACTGACCGCAAAGAAGTCAGCAGCTGTAAGAATATCAATACCATGCGGAAACGTGCCTTGCCGACCGACATTTTCTTGAAACGCGGCAGACGCAGCACGTCTGCAGTTTATCTCTCGGTCAAAACATGTGACTATCAGTAGTTGTGCAGCAATATCATTCACAAACGGTTCTAAATCACTCGTTTCGTATGCTCTTGCAAACGACCAGCAGACGTAACAAGCTGCGTCTCTTATATGACTGCCAACTGATGCGTATCCTTTTGGTTCATCATAAACCAACGCTTGCATGACCACAGGCACTACTTCTGGTAATCTAGAAGGTAATAGTAAGCCTCTTCTTCCTAGTTCTGCAAGCGCCAAACATCCGCCATGCCAAGCTCCGTCACCTTCCCTAGGACTAAACAATTCCAAAACAGATCCGACTACATCATCAGCGAATTCTTTCGGTAACCTGCCTGTTACTCTACCAATACCTTTCGCAGCAGACCAACGCACCACACTATCACCACTTCGTAATCCTTGAATGAGTTGATCGATGATTTCTTCGATTTCTTCCGGTACATCCACATTTACTTCTGTTATATCTGCATCTACCTCGTTGGTGTTTATGACTTTTTTGCTGAGATCGCCTTCACCAGAATTTAAATTCGCTGTTAAAGATCGATTACCCCGCTGGTAACGCCATTTGGTAATCTTAGGAGGCAAGAAAATCAGACCAATACGTTGAATTATCTTATAAACCAGTTTTTGTATATTGCTACCGGGGTGGTTCTTGATTTCGTCGTTGATTATCCACGCAAGTAGTTTTTGTGCATGCGGTAGAACATCTTCACGTTTGCCGTGTTTTAAAATCATTGCAATTGAAGATAATGTGCCGTATTTCACAAAAGAACTGCTTGATTTTGATACACTCAAGTTGCATGCCCAAGAGATGAATTCATCGAGATATTTTTCTTTTACATCAGTTCTAAAATTAATAATATGCTGTACCAATGTCATTCATATGACATTATTATTAAGATTATACTCTTACCTTGTTAGGAACTTTGATATTAAAAAGGCAGCTGCATCGCGGCATTTATCAGGCTGCACCGTGTAAGTTTCGCAAACGTCTAAGACACGTTGCATCACAGTTTTCTTACCGCTAGCGTCCGTATCACCTGTCGCATCTGGTTCAAAACCATCTAATCTAGACATGTGAAATGGTATCATAACAATGATAGACATCCACAGAAGTAAAATATATCTGGTTGTCCATGTATTTGAATCATTTGGGTTTTGTTGTTCTAATAATTGTAAAACTGGTTCAAAATCTGCAACCTGATTAATAAAAAAATATAAATTTTAAGCTTAAAAAAATAAACTTGCATTGCACAAACCAAAGAACAAACTTTTAACTTTGCATCAAAGAAGTTACAATGCATCAATTAAAATAGTAAAAAAATGGTATTAACATTAAATAAATATCTTCTACATAATTATTACATACATAAACATTTATATTCTTACCTCATGAGGAAGTTGCCTCACAATAACTTTGTATCCCCGCACATTTGTAACAACATACATATATTTGAATACAGCATGTTTTAGGTCCATAGAACTATCTGAATTGCGAATGATTCCAATCATTTTATCCAAGATGCGCTCCAAATGCGTGTCCAGCAAGTGCGGTTGCTCGTGATACTGTTTCAAAATATCAACGAATCTTTCATATGCGCGTTCAATTTGTGAATTGCCTTTCTGCAGCACGGTTTCGAGGTTATCTATCATTTCGAGCACTTCCTGGTGATCAGAGAAATACTCCATCGCACAGCCCAGCCCGTAGGCTTCAGTTTCGGTTTTAACATCCATATCCATAATTGATATCATTTACTAAAGGACGTTATATATTCAATATAAGTTTAAATATTATTGTAAATGTAAATGCTTTGCTGATGACTAACCGAAGGCAATTGTCAGACACATGACAATTCCGAAACAAAACGCAACCAGTAATACACATTCAAATTAAGTTTAAAAACTGTATTGTTGGTTGCATATAACAAATTGGCAAATTTAAATATTTTTCAATTTTTGTTAAATTCTGTAATATTCTGAATATATTACTTAAATTACACTTATTTGTTAATACATTAAAGCTGTTATAATTATAATTATTATTAAATTATTAAAACATCATTTTATAATGTTTAAAACTAGTATAATGATCTAAGCATAAAACATTAACGTTAGTGTTATTTTAAATATTTTTTGCAATAAATTATTAATACGTTTAAAACGAATAATGCTTACTCATTCTGCTCGTGTTATTATTCCGCCGTACGACATAGGTTTAACACCTTAGCAGCATTAACATGAATTAAAATGTAATTACAGTGATGTGTGGTGAGATCAGTATCGTGTGTTTCTAATTAGTAACAATTGTAATAATTGCTACATAAATATTGATGAAATTCTTGCACACTATCCAATAACATTACACATTTACAACGGTCAACGCTGACAATACAAACAAACACCAGTCACACCATTCTAATGATTTCAATCGCAAATTTAAGTCGGGAAATACGATGAAAAATGTTTTGACGCGTCTATTTGCATTAAGCGCTCTTTAACACCTTGATTATTGTAACAATCCCGATCAATTACATCATGTACCAGCCGAAACGGTGCAAAACTTATTTTTGTCGTTTTCTTCAGTGTACGATGTAATTCGATCACTTTATTCATCATAATATTGAATCATGCATGGACGTTTTCTTAGCTTACATAAAATTTAAACAATATTTAGATATGTACAGTGTGTCAGTAAATTAATTTATATCTTCCTGGGTGCTGGCGTGAGTGTTTCTTGTAGTGTAACACAACGTGTGCGTATAAAAAGTTCATTTAAATGTTTAAAACTTAAATATGCAAATGAAAGAAATATCAATTAGACATTCAAAGCGTTTGATTGTCTGTGGAGTAACGTGGAGCGCGACAAACACAACAAGAGTTAATGTGTAAACTTGAATGCGAATTAATGAATTAATGTCATTTTTCCATTTATTTATATACTACTCATATGTGCCGTGATCAGTTTCAGCGTACCCATAAATAATAAAAGGTAATTTTTATTTTTTATCTCGTTCAACGTCAATATTTTTTAAAAGTTTCATAAACTTCTAGAATTTGTATTAAATATTAACAGAAATTAAAGATTTACGTTATACTTGACAATTTTCTTACTTATTTTGTGTTCTAGATTAATAAACTAATGAATTATAATTAAAATTTATACTTTAATTTATTGTTGTACGTTGTATAAAGCTAATTATGAGAAAAGTTAATTTAACTTAAAGTAGACGTAAACTTTATGGCTAGAAACTACAATAATAAACTTAAATTACCCTATAAATGAAGATTATTACTAATATTACTTTTAATTTGTGATAAATAATAAGAAAAAGGAGATAACTTTATAATATTCCATGATGCACTCGTGCATAGTGCACTTTGTCAAGCGTGGCCTAAATTAAAATGACACTCGCTGACGAGTTCAATAAAGTTTCAATCAACTCGATATATGACAACTCAAACATTATCCCAGTAAATACTAGTGTAACTTTGTACTTAAACCAAAACCAACATTCACCACAAACACATGTTTATGCATTTCAATTGAAATTGAAACATGCTGCTTAGTTTGTCAATCAATCATTCAATCCAACTTTCAACTTTTCGACTCTCAATCTCAAGATGATAAATCCTTGATACAAAAAATTAATATGTTGTTCATGTTTTCAAGATGTTGACCTAATTTTAGATTATGATTTACATAAGTTTATTTTTTATAGATAGTTCCGACAGGTCTCTCGAAAACTTTTATCACTTCGATGAAAAAAGTAAAGTCAAGATTTTTCTTCAGAACTCGTCCAAGGTATTTCCTGTCTAAGTGTGTGCAATCGCTAGTGAACTTGAACTATTAACGCGTATTTAACGGAATTTATGAAATAATACATCATGTAATGTGTTAGATTCATGGTCATGAAGAAAGTAGTCAACACTTAACAGTATTTTTATAATACTTTAACTAGATCTCTCACTTTCCCACTTAACTGTTACGTTGTTGTAAAATAATTGTAGATATGATAAGATAAGATAATTAAATGATTTTTGTGTTACTGGTGTTATTATCATATGAATTGTTTCTGATAGCTTGGCAGCGTTGTTTTTTGCTGCTTTATCAGTTGTCAATTTTTTTCCAGTCGTTAAAGTGTTAATTTACTCGCATTGCAGTGTCGGAGTGCCATTGTTTGCATACAACTGATAACTGACACCTGTTAAGGTTTATAAACACCAGCTCGTACGAGGGAGTTGCTAAGTTTATACCAGCAGTAAAAGTCCATAAAAGTGCACTGAAAGTGTTTTTTACTTCTGGTTTTAAAGTGACCGAGATTGATTTCAAAAGGTGCAAAGTACAATAATGGAATACTGGTTTTCCTTATTGTCATAAATGTGGTAAAAGGTATAATTTTGTATAAATATTAACAGATTAAGAAAACACCTGATTTTTTATTAGGAATGTATTACGATGTATTGTAAATTGCGTCTTTTTTCATCAAATTTATAGATTAATTGAAGTTGAGAGTGTTTATTAACTTTTCCAAAGCCTTTCCAGGGCAAATACTTGTAGTTTACAAAATTCAAAATTTGAGACATTAATTTTTACAGATTTCTGTTAAGTAAAGAGAATATTATGAGAATAAACACAATTAACATCTTATAAAAGTTAAGATTTTATATAAAAATTGACAAATCATGAAAACACTTGATTTTTTATTAAGAGCCTTGTAAATTACGCCTTGTAAAGTAGAAAATATTTATTAACTTTTTTAATGCTTCTCCAAATAAATAGTTAACAAAATAGTAACCCTGCAGTTCTATCACGTTTTATTTATGATAGTGTTTTGTTAGACATAAATTGCCCTTGCTAACTCTTATCAGTAATAAAAACTGCATAAATTAAACCAAAACGACAAATATGTTCATATTCCTAGAAACGTAGAAACCCCGAGGCTATAAAATATTATGATAATATGACAAATAATTCGAGATTAAGATATAAGTCTTGTTTGTGTTGTAATCATTACAATTTATCCGGTGCAATGCAATGCTATGCATATAATTGAAAGTTGACAAATATTCTCAACTCGCAACAGTTGACACATCGCTATAAACCTGCGAGATCGAATAACAAGTGGCAATTAAATGCAAAGGAACTGAAATTAGTTTAGAAAATGCGACCGACAATTTCTTGCCAGTCTCTTGCCAAATCTCACCGGTTTAATGTTTGCAAAACGGCCTGCTTGCAAAATTTATCACTAGTACTTACTGGTATTAGCTAGAATTAAAAACAAAACACCTCAAGGCTATAAAAATGTGAATATAATTGTGTTTTAATTGAAAGTAAAGTAAAAAAGAAAGTAACTTTCCCAAAAATACATTTTTTTTGTATTATTGAATAACAGTTTCAAAAGTTTTGATTTATTAATTTAAACTTTAAACGAAATTCTATAGGATTATATGACATCCAAGATTGTTAGCTTATTTGAACATTTTTATATCTTATACACTAAAATGTGTGATTAATTTATTCATTTTATAAATTTAAATATTATGACTTAATATTCGTGTTAAACAGGATTTATTTTTACTTCTGGTGTTCTATAAATAAACAATGAATGATTTTGTACGATAAAAACACACAACATAAAAATATCACAAATTTGTATCGTTTTGCACCCTTCAAAATACAAGTTTAGCGAAAATATAAGAAATTTAGAAAAGCAACATATTTTTTTCAAGCTAAAAAACAAAACTCCTGGAATAACTCTTAGAAACTTTTTTTTTTCGGTTTATAACGTTTGACGACGCTTTCCGGCCAGTGTTCTCCATATTTCTCTTTTTTTAGTGTATAATAAGTTTTCCCAAACTAAAATCACAATTTTTATGCTTTTTTCTGTTAAATAATACAAAATATAATATATTCTTAAAATCCATAAAAAACATATAATTTAAAATGTAAAGGCAGGTGTTAAGTAATAGTTCAGTGAAAAGATTGCATTTCTAAAAAAATAATAATCCACCTTTAATAAACGATCATAAAAGTCTCATCAATGTTCAGAAAAACTAGAATCACGATTATTATTAACGTTTTAAGACTCACAAATTGAAAGGATATCTAAAAATAACGCCAGACAGAATTGTACTCATTGTTCAACCGTCGATGAGATGAAAGCGCTATCGATCAGTTCAATAAATATGCGATTTGTTCAAAATTGTTTACCTCACGTGTGCACAAGGCGTTCGCGGAAACGCTTTAATTTTCTTTTGTTCATGCGTGTTTGTTAAGCGTATTTGCGATGTGTTCTAAGATCGGTTTTTAATTGAAATCAACTTGGCATGTGTAAATTCACTCATCAATACATTACCCGCATGAATATTCATGGATCAAAATGATTGTTTTGATGTAACAGCATACGAATTTTCTTACACCCGACGCGTGTTTACAAACATTCCGCGCTGTCGACGAACTGTACTTTAATAATCGATTGTTTACTTTTTATCGTCACCCGATGCGTAATTTACATATATCTACCGTGATAATGATAAAGTAAATTAAATTTTGGTAGTTTTTAATTAAGGATAGTATTTTGTTATTACCTGTTAGCACTTACGATCGATAGTCTACATTAGTTCACTGTCAGCGCATTGTTGATTGATTGTTGAACGAAGTCGAAAGCATACGGTGCAAATTGATCTTGAAATAATGTAAACATAAACACCGGCAATCAGCCGTGATCGTTAAACGCCGGCGCTGTGAAAATGCGTGTGCAGAGCAAATCAACACTGCGCAAATACGATAAACAATATAATAACCTTTCTAAATCGTTTGTGTTGTGCGTGGAGAATATACTAATGTACGTGACTTGGATCACACAAGAATAACTTATTTGTCAATAGAATTAATTCATAGATACTTGGAAAAATACTGGAATTGACAAACAAAACAATCATTAAATTAAATTAAATCACACGTAAGCAAAAATAAAAGAAAAAAATATAGAAAACAACGCATATTTAGGATAATTCAGGAAAATACTAAAATTCATTCAATTTCATGTTTTAAATTTTATAATATTTTTCTGACGATAGCCTAAAGGCGAAAGATGTTAAAAGTCAAACAAATCGTAATTCAATTTTCGTAAAAATAAAATATAATAAAATTCATTAAAAACATGAAAATATGATCTATTTAAATATATTATGCCGTTTGAAAAGTTTAGCGTATGTAGCTAAAACTGTTTTAGCGTGAATTTCAAATCAGAAGCTGAGTAAGTAAGTAACTCAGTAGCGTAAACACAAATAGCAATCGCTCACCCCCACTTGACTGAACTGCGTACTAGTGCTACTTGTCCGCAGCGCCGACCGATAAGCACGTCTATAAATAAATTCGTGCGCGTCGTGCCAATCTGTACAATTGCCAAAGTAATCTTAGACCGCGCGACACGCGTCCCGCGACTTAACAACACTCACTCGGCATTCAGTGATCATTGATCAACCAACCAAACACTAGTTATTACCAGCAGCAGTCAGTCAGTCAATTGCATCCACTGCGGTGCCCTTTTTGACCAAAATTTTCACGCCGTGAAAGAGTTGAAAGTCTCTCTCGGTTTGAATCCAACCCAGCGTCAATGTTACTCATTTGCACGCAGAACAAGCTGGTATTCGTTAAAGAGCAAGCGAAGGGCAAGGGCAAAGGGAAGCCATTTTGGCCACTGGTACAACGATGAGCGCGGCCATCTTCGAGCAGCACGCCGCCGGTGCGGCGATGACAGGCAACAACAATTGGTCCAGTGGTTTCACCGCTGTTGTTTTGGAGTTGGAAAGAAATGCTACTCTTGCTTCCGGTTCTGCAACCCCCGAATGGTTCTCGGGGACATTATTTTCGAGCATTTTGCAAGATGTCGGGCGGATGTTCTATATCATCAAGCCTTCAGAGACTACGTTTGAGCATCCTCATGAAGTTCCAAAGTATTTTACTCAGGTAAGCAAAATTTTTATTTACAAAATTTAAAAAAAATATATTAAAATTAGTTTTATTTAAGTTCGTTAGTTATTTAAACAAAAATATTTATTTTACCATATAATTAATTAGGTCTACTAAGTAATGATACATATTTATTTTTAAAATTATTACCGTTTTCAATTTTTATGTTTTGTATTAAATTAAAGATTATAATTTATATTTTGATAGCATATTGGTTTTTAGGTTATCTTTCTCCACTATAAATTGGTGTTGAATCGTCTGATATACATTTTATACTAATTATTGATGTATAATTTTCGTAAAAACAAATTGCTTTCTATTTATTTACAAAATTTATAAAAATAAAACAGTAAATAATTCTTATATCAAAAATTTAAAGGATAAATGATCAATGCTAACCAGAAACAAAAATAATAAACAAATCGTTTATGAAATTATAAATTTAATAATTTAATAATTGTCACATCTTTATTGCGATAATGAGACTGAGATAGACTTGCAATCGAGCGAAACAAAATTAATCGTTCTAAACCTTTAAGCGTTAAGGTCAAGGATGCTCTACTGCACTAATTAGACAAAACGATCTCTTACTTTAACAAATCCAATCAATTATTTCATATTATTTACCGCTAAAAATTGAGACGCACATAAATACACCTCAGGGCTATCCATACCTTCGCAAACAACAAAAAAGCGGTCATTTTATAACTGCGAAGTTATCTTAATTAAATCAATTAGAAACCTTTAAGTTCAAAACTTGTTTTGATCTCCGGCCAAACCTTTTATGTTTTAATAACTTATCGGATTATAATTTATGCAGGACACCGTTGGGCGATGAATTTTTAACAAGCCGGTTCGGCGTGTTTTTTTTTCTGTTCTCTTTAGGCATGGCCCTACTTTCTAGTCTTCATGATCTTGGAGAACTTCTTGCTGTGGTTGGAGCGCAAACCTACGCATCGACTCAACGACAGCATCACTAGCATCAGTCAGGGATTAGTGCAAGAATGTGGCAGGTAATTAAATATGTTAATTTTTTGCCTTTCAAAGGTCGATTGAGACCTTGATACCTTGATAAACATAATTAACAAACCTACCAATTTGTATTTATTAGAATGGTATGTTTAGCATAAACCAGTTTTTATTCTTCGCGAAGGTAGATGTGTACTTTAAGGTTCGAGGTCGAATGTTTTTTACCGTTTAAATTGCCAAGGGATTGCGCAATCTCAATTTTAATTTATTATTAGTTATGATGAAATAATTCTTCCGGGTTTAGTAATTTTTTAAATTATTTGGTTCATAACAATTTTTTTTTGATAATTTTTTTCTTTTTATTTATAGATTATTGGTGCGTGGCGCGGAAAGTTATTCCTATATGTACATCTACGAGCACTTCCGGCTTGTGGAGATGTCCTGGAACGAGCCCTACGTTTGGTATCTGACCGCAATCGGCGTCGACTTTTGCTATTATTGGGTCCATCGAGCATGTCACGGTACGAAATTCTCATCTCTTTGATTTATTTTTTTACCAATATTTCCGCAATGCGGAAAGTTTATGTGATTTTTTTTCGAGAATATCCCAAAAGTAATCACAATAATCCGCTACTGATATAAAAAAATAATAATTTCCGGAATAAGCTTATTTTATTTTTGTTTTAAATTTAGAAATTCATATATTATGGGCCCAACATCAAGTCCATCACTCATCGGAAGAATTCAACCTGGCTGTTGGCTTACGCCAATCAGCTTTACAAGGCTGGTGCGGTTTTGTCTTCTATCTGCCACTTGCGGTGTGTATTCCGCCCTCGCTTTTCATCACACACCAACAATTCAATCTACTCTACCAATTCTGGATCCACACGCAAGCAGTGAAAACCCTCGGTCCTCTAGAATATATCTTTAATACACCGAAGCACCATCGTGTGCATCATGGTTCCAATATTTACTGCCTTGATAAGAACTATGGAGGAGTCCTTATTATCTGGGACAGAATGTTTGGTACTTTCGCCGATGAGGCTCAAGATGAAGAAATTATCTATGGCTTGGTTTATAATCAACCTTCGTTTAATCCAGCTCATTTACAAGTAGGAAATTGTTTTTTTTTGTTTTGAAGTTTTAATTTATTTATTTTTTGTTTTGTTTAAAGACTTTTTATACTCATTATGTGATTGAAAAATTCCTGAGTATGTCAACGTGGAGTGACAGATTTGCGTCGATATTCTACGGTCCCAGTTGGCAGCCGGGAAAACCGCGCCTTGGGCTGGACGAAGACAAAGTTAAGGTGAGCACTACGCAATTTTCGTTTCTTTCGTTTGTAACTTTCCTTAGTTGCTCGAGTTGTTTTTACATCGTTTTTTATGTTCGTGTTCGACGTTCTTTTACTTTCTTTTGTTTTATCACGGTGATATCTTACAGGAGCTAGCATTAGGTAGAATTCTATAGAGACATGTTAACACGTTCGCCGCTTTTCAAACTGTATTGATTTGGGTTACGAGAATAATTTTGCCTGAATTTTATAGTATTGAATGCAAAACTTTAAAAAAAATTTATAGCAATTTTATACTTTTCTGTTTTTTGTTTGTTATTAATGAACAAAGTGTCGTTTATAAACTCTCATTATGTTTTGTTCACTTTTGTAAGAATGAAACAAAGTGGCGAGAAATGAAACGCGCAAAACTCTTGCGGGTATAAATTCATATCATGAAGAGCAATACTTTGCACCCATTTTATGACCACACTTCTTCCCTTTTATTTCGGGCTATAAACGCAGGATTCTTTGAGTAAATTCGTTCCCACTAATGCAACTTTCACATTCATTGCGAATGTTATTGGACACTAACAATTCCAACTTATACTTTTTCATAAATTCAGAATTTTATTCCCGAAGTACAGATTTACTATAATTTAATCTCGGATTTGTTCGCTTTAAACTTGAACACTGAGAATCCGTACCGATTACAAGCCCCAACTAGAATTTTATTCAAACTGTCGGAAAGTATTGATAAAGTTAACACGCCTTGCATTTATATTCAGAAATTGAAGCAGCGCATTTTCACAGCGGATGCTTTGCGGTTGTGCTACCAAAGTCGAGTTGGGAAAACTTCGACAAAAAATATAAACTTTTCTGGTTTAAAAACTTGCTTGCAATCAGAGAAATTCAGTCCTACGCGAAAAATAATTTATAAATAAAATAAAAAGTTTTAATTATTTTTATTTATTTGAAATAATTTAATTAAAAGTTAAATTTTGACAAAAATAATCTATGATTGCACGCATGCGCAATATCATCACTTGTTCTGTATTAATTTTTTTTTTCAATTCAGGTGGTGGCAAGGGAAAAATACGATGTGAAACTACCCCTTTGGTGTAACGCCTACATCCTAGTGCACTTTTGCGTGGTGGTTTACGGATTCCACGAACTTGCTGCTCGACATGTGGTGAGTGTCCTTTTTATGCGTAATTTGCATATCGTACATATATTTTTTCCATTTTCATACTCAGAGTGAATTCCATTAGCTAAAATTAGAATTTAATATAAATTCAATATTTTTACAAACTCTATAAATCATATAAAATTAATATTACTTCGTCCTTTTTTACGTGGCAACAAAGCTAACCTTGAGAGGTTTGTAGTGGTTGAAGGTAGAATGCCCGAAAATGCTAAAACGGAACGAATTTCGCGCACTCCCGTTGAATAATTCACACTCGGTGCATAGCTCAAGCGTGTCGAGCGTGCCGAAACGTTTTCAAACGTTTGAAATGGTAATGTCCTACGTTCCAGAACTCCCAGGACTATCAGAAAATTCGTCGGAAACCCGACGTCCGGTTACGCATATTATCGGCTTTTAGCAGCACTTAAAATGTTAAAACATCACTTATTGAATATTCTACCACAAAAAAACTAAAACTCATATCTATGGATAATAATTTTAGAATATTAATAGTATCAAGTTTAAGTAATTACTTAGAATTTATATCAATAATTTATTCTGTTTTCTATTCGTGTTTTGTGCTGTTGGAAGATAAATACATGATGAAAAAATGTAGAAACTGTAATTTATCATTTTCCTCAAAGGACTTTGAAATAGTTTTTAAACCGTTTACATATAAATTACTTTATCTGACAAGTATTTGCGGGGAAATGAGCGCGCACGCAAAAACAAGGAAATGCGAAAATGGTGGAAATGCGCGGAAACATGAAAAACACAACGAATGTTCCGGAAGCGTTGAGTGACCTCATTTACTATAAATTATTTTTGGGGCTTTTTAATTGTAAACCTAAACTATAACATTAACATTAACTTTAAATCAAATTTATATTAATTTATTAAAATATTGATTTAGATGAATTAATATTATATCACACAAACGGATATTTATTTTGTGTGAAGTTAATTAATATTTATAAAGTATTCATATGAATATTCGAGAAATATAATTAATTTTCATAAGCTCAGGATATTACACGTTCAATCAATAAAGATGTTTTGCAAATATTTACTTAGATTACTTAAATTTTGTTTCTGCTAAATAAATTATAAATTTGTTAGGCAATTTAATTTCGGAAACATTGTTGGAAAATTGCTGAAACTAAAGCGAACCTTTGATGCTAAAACAACAGTTTGATAGGGGGTTTAATTTGCGATAACACAAGAGGACAGCAAACACAACACAATAGTGCAATGGAGTTTCATTAGGTTAATTATTTACGGTGTGTGCTCTGCGCAATTAACGGATGTGCCATGTAAGCATGACACTGACATTTGTAATCTAGCAAGTCATACCAAATGTTTCCCAAAATATAAAAGAGTTTTCAAATGTCATTTGTTTGTTTCAAATGACATTTTGACAACGTTTGAGTATAATTTTAGTATAACAACAAAATCGCAATGGCTATTGTGGTTTTTGTGCATTTAAAGTTTGTAAATGTAACTCATGTATCTCATTTGGGATTTGGTTTCCTCTTGATGTGATTATTAATTTATAAATTTAATCTTTTTGCCGACCATTAGGGAATTTGATAGTTTACAATTTCAATCAAATGCATCACACAATCAAATAGATTAAAGTATTAATTCAATATCAATTTAGTTCTATATTGAAATTATTAATACAAATAATTTACAAAACATTTATTTAATTAACACATATTTTCATATTTTATATAAACAATTTGCTTTGGGCAATTTTCATTGTGATTTATATTTTCTGCTTTGTTAGCTGATCCTTTCTGAAGCCAGAATATTGTGTCTTTTTGTATAAAACATCTAAATCCATTGCAATGTTTTCATCTTCAACGTTTAAAATTCTTGCTTTGTATTTTTTGCTTGAAGCTTTCTTTTGTTTCGGGTTTTCGGTTAGCTCGCCTCATCATCATCTCTCGTTGCAGCGCAACATTTCTTCATTTTCCTATTCATTCGCCCGGTTATTTCATTCGTGGACTTGGGAAACATTTACATAATTTAATTCAAAGTCTCTTGTGTTTTGACTCGCCTGGAAAGTCTCTCGAAACACAACGTTGGCGCAAGGCGCAATTTAATATTGAAATATCTTCCTGTCTGCACTCATTACTTGTACTTCCTAGTAAGAATTAAAAAAAAAAGTTGTTTTAAAGAATGAAACTGTGCAGATTTTTTATACGGAAGTGAATTCTCATGTTATGCTAGATTTTCTAAAGTGCAAAATGTGTTTTATTTTATTTTTTGTTTGTTTTTCTTGTTGCAGACGATGAATCCTTTCGCTGTGCTGACATTCGTCCTGTATATCATCGGTTCATTGACCACAATCGGCATGCTCTTCGAAAACAAGCCACATGCTTGCGTTTTCGAACTACTTCGTTGTATGATTTTGGTCACAGCAGTGCAACGCTTGGAATTTCCGGATGTCGACGCGAATATCCTGCTTGCTGTCGAGGTGTTTTTCCTGACGTCCGGTCTGTTTTGGTTGTTGCAGTGCATGAAGGTTTTACAGATCACTAAGCAAAAAACCCATTAAATACAAACTGCACAAAAACACACCCAAATAATCCACGTTGATATACTGGCTAAAATTTATATTGAAATTAAAATTTTTACCTGAAGAGGCAGAAAATCTAAAAAGAGGCAAATGTTAAAGTTTAGATATTGTGATAATTTTAATTGTGATGTATTATTATAATGATAACAGAATATACGTACGCAAAAAGTCATGATTAGAAATAATTATGAATTATGAATAGTTAAAGGTGATTGGAAGTTAGTTCTATAATTAGATACAAATTGAACTGTTTTAAATATTTCTCAAAATGTTGTTAAATGTTTAAGTAATTAGTATTAAGCATTTTGTATTAAATATTGCTGAATAACATGATAAAAATAAATTTTATGAAATACACAACATTTTTATTTATTTTTTCTCAAGTATGATGCAGTTTTATGTCCTGCTTACATCTCTCGCAAATATAAGCTTTTAAATATGTTATGTTAAATATGTTTTTCATGTAGTTTATTTTAGTCTGAAGCAAAGTACCAAGAGCAAAACTACAACTAAAACCATCTCATTCATTTCCTTAAGATAAAAAAATCATGAGCTAAACAGAGTTGGATCTAAACATTACAAATGTCAAAAATATTTACTTTTGTTTTATGAGTCTGTCGAGTAAATCTTAATGCGACACGTGCAGTGACTAGAATACTTGTCTAACGTCTAAGTATCATATTTTTGCTTGCACTGGTCCTGTACATGAAACATGTCGGAGGAATAGCACAAGTCCTTGTTGTACTTCATTTTAAGTGCACATCACTTGGTGGAATGGAAACATCGTTCAAGGGCCATAACCTTTATGCGTTACGCTTTATGTACCAGCTTTATCGCATTACGGCCATTTCTGTGTACATCATCGGATATCCTGCAGCCGTAATCGATACAATTCTGCGGTGCGTTTCCCACATGACAACATAATTCCCTTAGAGGATTTATTTACAACTTCATTTATATCATAGGAAATTCAATATGAATCAAATTGTAAATAAATATATTTAAAAATATATATTTTGATGTTTTTGTAACAGCCTATATAAACACCTGCATGAATCCGTTCTCGGTAGTACCTACAGGTTTGCGTTAAGTTAGTTTGTTCTGGTTGCGGTTTGCAGAAAGCCACAGCTTTTAACAGCACCAGGTTGAGTTTGCGTTTACATTAGAAACCGACGTTTGCCAAGGGAAGTTCCATCGAATATTTCATTTCGTAGTTACACACTAGCTAAAAGACAATCATAACCAACAAACGAAGCCATTAACTTGATTAAAACCAACATAACCTTACTTGTGTTTGACATACAATTATAACCTTAAACTGTCAATAAAAAAGTAAAAAAGAAACGTAAAATTTTTAACATAAATGCAGCTAATGGATGTACATACAAAAAAACACATTAGTATTTTCAATTTTTTATTTTTATTAGGTTTTTTATAAAGAATATTTACTATTTAAACAAACACTGAGATGCATTGCTTTAACAAAAGTTACAAAATCTTCTGCAAAATGTTTCTTCGAGTTTATATTATATTGTTTTGTGCCTCAATGATTGTATCATCAAATGGTCAACTTTTACCTTTACATTACTGTGACATTTCATCTCAAGCGCAGGAGGAAATCGATATCATAAAAGAATTCCACCTCAGTAAATTCGACTCCATCCGGTTTATCAGCGTCCAGAGTTACGAAACGGTCAATTATATAGAATGCGCCAGGTACAGAAGTTTTCTTATGCGTAGAAGCGAAGATATTCCTGTAGTCATTGAAAACATCAACAAAAACAACACAAAACTTAAAAAATTATCCAACTTACACCAGGTTTACATTTTAATAAAGAATATTAATGTCCTGCATTATATGATAAAAACTGTATTTACTCAGGATATATTCTTTCATCCGCTGAAGGTATTCTACATAGTAGTAGCTGAGGCTATTAATAACGAAGAACAAATAAAAACACATCTATTGAAAGAATTAAAATTTTTTGAAACATACCAAAATGCAGGAATAATTATTACAATCAATGGAAAATTAATGATTTATTGTGTTGATCCATACAAAAAAATAATTTCAAAGTTATCTAATACCTTCAAAACTCCAGACAATTATTTTAATGTCAATGGAGACGTTTTAAAAGTTGCTGTTTTTGGAAAAAATAATGTGGATACAAAAATAAACGCAACAGAGACAGTACTGAGTAATCTCCTGGCATATTATATAAATGCAACTTTAGAGATAAAGCCGTACAGATACAGTGAGTATAGAAAATTGTCAGATGATATTATTAATGAACGATTGAATGTTTCATTGGCGCGAATGCACTATAACAATTTGCAACCAAGCAATAAAAAATCTTTCGTCCCGATTCGAATTGATTCGTATATAGTTGTAATAGTAAACCCTGAAATTATAATGAGTTTCAGGTATGTAGGCAGTGTTTTTGATTGGAAATTATTTCTAGTTTTTGATATTTATATGATAGTTACCTTTTTAATTCTGCAATGTTCAACTTCTCAACGTTTGCTCCTAAAAATCATCCTGATTTTAAGAAAAGTAACGCAGTATCAGAATTAGTCCTGATTGGTATATGTTTAAATGTTTCTCAACCTAATCTGCATAAATACAGATTTTTAACACGTATCATTTTGTACACATGGATCAGTTTTACTTCATATTTCACAATGGCTGTAACAGCTAATATGAAAACAGATGTAATTGACAGTCAACCAAAATACGTCATTGAAGATCTTCCTGATTTGCTTAATAGCTCATTGGATATTTTTATTTGGAATGTTGATAGAACGATGACTCAAAATCTCTACCAAGATACAAGTTTGCCATTCGGAGGACGTATAAGAGGTGTTTATAATATTGTGGAACATATCTTGCAAAATAATGATACAAAAGCGTATATACTATCAAAACAATTGGCTTATAACGTTATGCGCGCAACATACAAACAGCGTACCTATCAAAGGTTGAAAAAGAAACTAATGTGGGGATATGCAGGATATGAGTTTCCCAAATTGTCACCGTACGGATACTTATTGTGGAAATTTTCGAATATAATCGACGAACATGGTTTGTCTAATTATGGTAGAGAGACGCTCAATCATTGGAAATTTTACAGAACATGGAACAGCAATCTGGAAATTTTAAACCTATGACAATTGAAAATGTGATGGGAGCTTTGGTAATTTTATGTTTGGGATTTGTAGTTGCGTTTGGTGTTCTCATCATAGAGAATGTTGTCTTTTATATAAAAAAGAAATATCTACGTGGAAACTGGAAGTGCTAAACGTCAGAAACAAATAGTAAATTTTATTTTTTTACATCCACCTTTAAAGCACCACTTTTTTCACGGTTTTAAGACACAAAAGGTAGCATTTTAATCACGGACAATCAATACCGTGACTAAAATACTTTTGTCACGAGTTTTAGTAACAGGGGGAAGCTGGCGCCTGCGCATTTGTCTACGGTGCAGCCCAAGGCCATTTGAAATGCCGTGCGTTATCAGTCAAACAAAGCAGCGAAGCATTCGAACAAAATTGAGAGTTTTAAAATACAAAAGTTCAAATACAAAAACCTTTACGTTAAAATATAGTAGAAGAAAATAGCGTAAGCATCACGTCTCTAAACGTTGTTAAAAACTCGATTGATAAAACTCGTTATTAAAGTGCCACATAGCGCATGTAATACTTAAAATATTATTTTGATATTTTTAAATGTTTGTGAGTGTGTGTGTGTTTTAGAAAATGCAAAATATAATTTGATACATTATTCAATTAAATGTGATAATTCATTTTGTGGTCGTTTATTCCCCTAAATTTATTACGGAGCCATCAAGTGAAAAAGCCATGCATGTACAGGCAGATAATGGCAAATTGTACATTGTTCAATTAAGCTTCGCCTCGTGCGCGTCGTGAAAATGTGTCCTGACGTTTTCACGAGCAAACCATCGTTTTGTTTGTTTATACGACGCACTGTGCGCTCTCGTCCGTGTTTAATTAGCAATTTCGCCAAACGCGACGGGACGCGGCGCCCTCGTTAAATTAATAACAGACCTATACATCGTCATGCGCCAAAAAAAAGACAATTCAAATTGATCACAATAAAAATTACATCTTGAAATTAATCACATTAATACCAAAAAAACATTTTTAACAATGTAAAATTCAAAATAAAATCATTGTATATTATCACACGAGATTAATTTACAAAGAGTGTGGTGATGAGTAGGAGGCGTTGGTAAAAAGTTGATGCAATCTCTTAACGTTTCGCTCGCCCGCGCTAATTCGATATCATCCTCTGCATCCCCACATCCAACGTGAGCAGACGTAGATGATCACAGGAATATACGACATACAGATGCGAGATTACGGGATCTCGAGTCCTTTCGCTTTCGGCTCCCGACTCCAATCTGTTCGAAGGACGCACAATGTCACTAACTCTCAGTGACGTCGTCATCAGAGTGCGCTGATTGTATTACACCCACAACTTTAATGTTACACACGATTTTAACCTTTCGTGAACTTTTATTACAAGAAAAAGAAGTATAAAACAGGATCCAGCTTAAATTTATTAAATCCGCGTAGGTTTTAGAATATTTTAAGGGCAAAAGTTTAAGATGATACAGAATAATAGAGAATTATGATTGTTGAAATTATTTTTTAGAAATAAACTATCAAGTTTCCAATGAATACTCTACGTTAATGAATGTTTGTTTTCCATTATAAAATGGTTCAAATTGGCAAAAATGGATGCAATGTTTTTTTCATTTTGCGCATACCTATTTGATAGGAAAATGTGGTGTGTGGATATGTGCGAACAGAGGAGGTAGAGAATGTTGAAAAAGCGACGCCGATGCTGCGCGGTCCACCTGTGGGCTCCGGTTTCCCTTACTCTCAGTTCAACATCGACGCTGGATGTGCAAGCATCGCGACGCAAATTCGTACTCGCGCTTTCACGTTTGTTATCCTTATACTGTGCGCACAGTTAGGAAAAAATTCAACCACTAGTTAATTAACATTTGGGCGACATTAAATATATAGAAAAAGAAACCAAACAAAAAATTAAATTAATTAAAAAAAGTATCTAAAAATACAATTCTACATAGTACTAGTTTATTGTACATTTACTGTTTCGTTTCTACTTTATTAAGCTAAAGTTTAATTAAAGCAGCAACCTGGAGAAACAACAGGAAACCATGGAAGTAGAAGGAGAAAATGTAAGTCCACATACTTTTCCTTAAACTTAAATGAATACTCTATATTTAAATCAGAGTTTTATGATCTATATTTTTTATTTTCTATGTTTAATTGTCAAGTCCAGACAATATTAAAATTGCATTTTTTCTTTTTGTCTATTTGCAAATCCTTTGAAGTTTCCATGGTGCAAATATAATATAAAATTATTTTGAATGTTGCATATTTAAAATGTTAAATTTTCACTACAGGTTTTAAATTTCACAATAAGAAACCCGAAACGTCCTCGACATTTCGTGAACTTTGATCTCATATAACGTTAACGGTTTTATCTGAAGATACAAAAGTACCTTTAAAGTCGTGTCGCGGCTTGACCTTTTTCATGCTGTTTTAGGCTGAAGAGCACCATACAAAGGACATATAACAAGACATGTGACTTATTTCATTACAGGAAAAACGAGTCGGATTGTTTCCAAGCCACTAAAATTCTTTAAAAATTGAAAATGTCTAAGTAAAATGCCTACAAAATTCCTTACAATAAATGTATATCATGATTTGTGGATTCGGTGCGTAGAATTTTGTAATTAGTAATTACAAATTTGTAATTAGAAAATAACTTTGATACTTTGTCACTTAGATCCGAGTGGATGCGGGCGGGATTAAACGAGATCGTAATTTGAGCGGTCTTGAAGTGGCAGGATGAGAAAGAAAAAATAAGTGATATTTGTAGACAGCTAAGAAAATGCGGAGAATGTAAAAATTGCGAAGTGATAAAGCACATCAAAAAAATTTGACAATGTACTTTTAACCAAAATATTGTTAAAGTTTTGAGAGTGTGCCATTGTTTCATTTTTTGCTTCTTTTAGAGAAACATCCAAAAGAGAATCTATTTTATCTTAGCATTTAAATGTTTTTTAATAAAATAAATGATTTGATTTGAAACATAAAATTTTGTTGCTCAGCTTTGAATATACATGTGATAAGTAAATAAATTTGGGAAATTTGTTACAAGCAACTGATTAGAATCTCTGATGTTGTAGTTACTCAAAGTTTTACTGATTATGTAGGAATTTGTATTGTTTTGATTCTGAAATTCTAAATGATTCTAAATATTGAAAGCACTATAAGTCATACAACATTGTTTTCTACGTTTTTCCATCAATATTAAATTATTTTTGCAAAATTTTCTTCTTTATATTATAGATATTTACCATCGCATGTTTCGTGCTTGGCTTATTTAGGTCACCTGTCGCTCCTCGATGTTTACTGAACAGTAAATTCTTCTTCAAACAGCCGTTGCAACCACTATAAAACATCGTTTTCAGTTCCAGACGATGTTTCGATAAAACCAGCAGAATACCATTTGACGAGACACGTCAAACTGCTCTCTATGTGGGCACATTGTATTTAGCGCAGATCCTGTTGGTTATCGTGCGTTCTATTTATCCTGTACAACAATATGGCCTGTTTTTCAACGCGTAGCCGTCTGCTACATGCCGGCGTCGTTGTTAATTAATTACTTGTTATACGATGGATTTTTATGTTTTCTCGCTCGCGGATATTTTACGACCTGCCTTTGTTTCTTCCTCGTAAAAGTAAATATCTACCGCGAAATAACTAGGACTAACATTACCATTAACAAATTACTCATGTGTAATTAAATTAAGATTTAAAGCATCGTAACTTTTTGGGTAAATTTCTAGCTAAAAAAGACCTGTGATACAAATGATTAAATGAATGAATTAGAGATTAAATCCATGAATTTATCTTTGTCTTCTTTTGGATGGGAGGTTTTTAATTTTATGTTAATTATAAAACTTTTCTTAATTCTCTCAAAGTCAAACTTTACACTTTTTAAAAATGTCTGCAATTTATTTGTCCTGTCCCCTAATGTGCCAAAATTTGTAAATTTTAATTGAAAATGAAACTCAAGTTGAAGTTTGTCGATGGTTGATGAGGCGGTACCTATACGTAAACGAATTAAGCTTTCGAGTCGAATAAGCTAAATAAGCCATCACGTCAGAGCGGATTTTCGTGTTTCAATCAAAATGTGTGTTCCTGGAAACCAGGGCTGTAGTGATTCGAGGAAGGACCAACAGTTCGGCCCGAGCTTAACCAAAAGTGATTATCAACGAATCGAACTGGTATTCAATGGGTCGCGGGTAATCGAAAGAGAATGCCATTTAAAAACTGTGTGGGAAATTCTTTCTGTTGTAATTCATTCTGTTCGTTTGAAACAACGGATTAAAACAACAAAGTAAAAAATAAAATTGGTTTTACATCCGGATTTTCGTGTTAAATCAGGTTTATGCATCAGTTATTCCATTTCAAAAAGTAAATAAATTGAAAGTTTTAATTAAATATATCAAACGGATTGTGAAAATCCTTTTACAAACAAAAATGTTTAATATTTTTTATTATTTTATGTGTTGTATCCTCCTTAATTAACGTTTTGCCATTTGTACCTAATGAAGAATTGTGCTTGGATGCAATATTGAACATAACTCGATTAAACCGACGTTCAATTTGCAAAGACCATTAAACTTTCTCACAATCTGTGCTCATGAACAGTATGCAACCAAAGTTTGCACTTCAAATGTTGAAACTGAGAATGCACAATGAGATGCACGTAAATTCGGAAGCAGAATTCACATCAGTGTCTGAAATTCCTTGAAACATTATGGGATATTTTGGGAAAGTGCTGGTAACTTTGACTTGAGTGTTCGAATAATTGCAATTAAGCTTACTATACAGTTGCAAACAAACTTTGAATAGGTATATCGTCAAATTCGAGACGTATAACATTCAAATTAAGTTTTAACAAGCATTATTTTAGATTATGTATGAAACGGCTTGATTACGCCATGTAATTTAATAGATGTCGCAAGAAAATATATAGAAAATAGGGTGAAAAATTTTATGCGTTGGCAATAATGATAGCATTAAAACCAAATTAATCATCCATTTCAAAATGTAATCTACTGTTTTAGCTAGAGTTGTGAATAAACTTATTATAAATCATTTGGTATTAAGGCAAACTCAACGAAAAATAGCTTAATCAACATAAATTACTTTTTTTCACTTTGGCATTATATTTTTTTCTTTGCGCCTCGTATCTCTTCACGAGCACTTTCTTCTTATGAAAGTTTTCTGAGGTCATCCTGAATAACACATTTATTTTGCGCCCATTCAAGGTGAGCATTTTTGCTGAGCAGGTTCCTCACATCACTCTTTTCACCACTTCTAACAACCCAAACACGTATTTGGAATAACCCTATGTTGCGCTGAACTGCAAAACGTGTAAAAAAGTGTAAATCATGCCTAACTCGTGATTTCATATTTTTACGAGCTCATTTTGCGTGCATATTTACTTTTTCATATTTTCATCTCACTCGGAAGGTTAATGGATTTTTTAAAGCCTCATCCAGCCGGCTAAAATATATGTTAAAGGTAAATAAAACCACATTTTTACATGGGGTTTTACTCTAGTAATATCGCACTAAAATGAAATGGAAGTTTACTTTGAAAGTCAAAGTTTGAAGTGAAAATGTGCGGTGATAATATATAAATAATAAATTAAAGAAATGTTGGATACGTAAATTATATATAAAGTTGTTTTGCAAAAAATACAACCTGTGAAAGTTAAAATCTAAGAGCAAAATGCGCCTTGGAAAATAAATTTTCCTCGCACGCATATCACATGAAGCATCCCCTCGAGTGCTGTTTTGAATTTGTTAACAGTTTCTTTCTCGTTTCCTTTGCTTTCCAGTGGAAAACTTTGACTTCAATTCGAGATAAAATCATCTCTATCTTGTAAATAATGAACGATATCTTGACGAGATTCCAGGCCCAAATTAACACGCAGACAAAGAAATCGATAAAATTTGAATACGAAAAGTTTCCAACAACAAAACAAGCAAAGAATGTTTCGAAAACACTTCGGGCGCAATACAATTAAATTTTTCTAATTAATAAAGTTTATAAATAGCAGTTGGTAATTCACTTGGTCGCAGAAAATAGATGCAAATTTTAATCTTTAATAAGCCCAGAACGATTTAATGGAAATGAATAAATTGTTACCAACCGGTGCGAAGCCCAATAGTGGTGAGTTGTAAGTCATCAATCTGCATCTATATTTGAGCACGTAATAGAAAATGGAAATGTTCGTCTTTGTTGCATGTGGTGTGTTACGCGTGTTTGCGAAGCAGAAACGAGTGCAGTGCAGCATTTCAGGCACATTTTCTTTCTTTTTCTGCTGCTCAAGAATTTGATACGCTTTGGAAGCTCCTGCATTTTGTATTCAAATTCGATGTTCCACCGAAGAGCACGCTGGCAGAATAAAAAGTATGAACATTGTATGAGTAAAATCCTGAAATATTAGGAAAAAGTCAGATATCTGATATTTCAACTTGAACAAAATATGTAATAATAAATGAACCAGTTTTAAAACAAAACATCTGCGTGATTTTTAAGTTTTACAATGTTTAAACATTTTTGCTACTAGAAACTTTCTAAGCGGCAATTATCAAAGTGAAGCGATGAAAGCAAAGCTGGAATCGTCGAAAATCGATACGAATTTTAAAGTTTTCTCCAGCAACTTGAAACAGCCAATTACTTAAGCCATGATCATGCAAGAAAGTTGGAGTCTTTTCAGTACTTTGTAAAACTCTTAATACTTTTAAAAGTTGCAAGAATAACTTTCCATAACAAGTAGTAAAATACACACTTGTTTTTTTTAATTAAACTGATTGAACTAATAATTAGTGGCACGCAGAAATGTTGTTGTTATAGTTAATTTTAATGGGAAAGAGGGGAATTGCTCTCAAAGCAAATTTCGTTTTCATGTCGCCATCATCATCAAAATTTAGCCAGTCAGGCGTAAGTTTGTTAATTAAATAGATTCCGACGCTGCCGCCGCGTGTAGCACCATTGAATCCTGCCGAGTGTTGAGAGAGGCTCTCCTTGTTGACGCGCTGAAAATGTAATACATCGTAATGCGCCCGTCAAAGTAGAAAATCAATATCGCGCCTAATGATAATAATTACCAGTGGGAGACTGGGTGAGCGGATGGCGGGTGTGTGCCCGGACGCCAATCATGTTAATTTGCGACAACACAAACGCACTGCGCGCCAGGGGACCTAAATGTCCTGACCAGATGTGCCCGAAGGAGAATAATGTATGGAGAAGCGCAATAATTAAGAGACAAGTGGAGCGGTAGAGGAATGCAGGTAAGGGATGGGAGATAACACCATGCTCATGTAAACTGACTTGTAATGAGCGATGTTTATTTTAGGAAACTTGAAGGACATTTCAAATTTAGATATACATTTACGCAATAATTGTGTTTAATTATAGGTACTTGTTCTTAGCACCCACGTATTTTTATTCATAAAGTTACGTAGTAATTAATTGATTCATACGTTTAGTTACTGAAAATGACGTTGTACAACTATTTTTTTTAGAAAGAAAATAAGTATATCTATATTTATGCCAATAAGTTAATTACAATATTTATAATTCATGAGCAACTAGACAGATTTTGATGATCAATGATTTGTTGAATTCGTCTCCGCCCCGAATAAGAGAATAAATATTAAAATATTGAAAACTGTGACTTAAATGGTGTTAAATAAAGGATGAAAATAAATATGAAGATTTTATCATAGTTATAGTTAAATAATTGAATTCGAGGTGGCGTTATAAGAAGTTGTGTACCTTATTGATGGAAATTAAATAGTTTTTTAATAAAAACTACAATATTCAATGTCATATACGTTAGAACAATATTTGAGTTTTGAAGGATTAGAATGGCGTTTCAGCAAAAGCTTGAACTTTAACAAAACTAAATCCAACTTGAAATACGTTCCTTGCCTACGTAACGCTTGTTAGTGAGACTCTTTGTGCTATATTCGTTACCTATTGTTATTGACTTTGACTCTCAACGGTTTCAGAACTTTCGACTTGAATTCCACTTCGACGATATGTATAATGAGTTATATATTCGGATTGGCATTTGTTGAATGCATCCACCTCTCCATTCACTCGTGATTCGCTGAATTTTGTTATAATAGTTTCAAACCTTCAACTTAATCCCGAAAAGCTTATCTTATTTGCTTTGCGGTAGAAATTAGGTTGAAAAACAAGCTCAACGCAGATGCTGCCTTTGAATACTCAATAAGTTTAATTGATATCTTCTGATAAACCTAGGCTTGCCTGATGCTACTTAGCTTGCTTAGCATGTCTTGTTTTAAAGCTCAACGCAGATTGAAGCTTTAACCACTTCACCTTTACGTTGAACATTTACTTTTCTCTTGTATACTTCAAATGTTAACTTGCGGTTGTTGTAGGCTCAGGAAGTGTTTGCAAAACCACAGCAATCATGCCTAACTCTAAAATGTTACGTGGATTCGTAAAATAATGTAGAACACAGGCACGTGCGTATGTGAGTGAAATAAGCTTAAAAGCATTGGAATTGAACTTGTTGGTACTAATTCGGCTTTCGTGTGATTTTACAACAGCTTTGCATAAAAGTAAAATTAATTAAACCGACGTTAAACAATCATGAAAGCAAAAGTTAACAGAAAGTTTAATTATCGCACCAATAAATTGTTTATTTTATTTGTATTTATTAAATTAGCTTAATCAGAGAGCAATATTGCCACAGAGTAATTTAATCACGTTTTGACCACTGTCACAAAAACATTAATTTTCGCATCGGAAGCTTTTCATTACTCATCTTGCTCACGCATTAGATTTGTGCCCGGTTTTGTTCTTTTTAGCTTGTTTATCCTGTTTCGTCATGATTTCACCCGCCAGCCAGCCAACAATGACATTTCGATACGATTTATGACCCGAATAACGCACGAGCAAACTCATAAATGCTTGTAAAGCTTTGCGAAATACGAGTATTCCAGCAAAAGCTCAATGTTTATGAAGATGAAGATTAAAGAGCATTGTGGAGGTCAACGTTTAAAATTTCCTTGTGAATGTATTGATTTAGAAATGGCAAATTCCAATTATTGCTGACCTTTCGTGTCAAACTTTGGCGCCAGATTTCAAATTAGAATCAAGAGATAGATAATGAATTATTACAAGAGCTTTCAGAAATTAAGGTCACGTTAAAAGGGTTTATTCTGACAAGAAACTATTCACGTTTGCTAACAAGATAATGGAAAGGTACTTGTAACATGATTTTAAGTAATCAGTTTTATAAACAGTTTAGTTAAACAATGTCTAAAAATATTTTTAAATATTTAAAACCAAATTATAATTTATTCGTCTGTGGTTTCAGTCGATGCTATTTGCAGCATCGTAAATAATTCAACATTTCGTCGGCGCATAAATATCAAACGGATATTTAAGTAAATGTTGAAGTATTTATAAGATAAAATAAATCTCTTATTGTGCAAATCAATGCAGTGATGAAACATTCATTAATTTGATTTCTTTTTAATTGAATTTTTTTCTTAATCCAACATTTATTCACAAACTACATATTATGCAGATCAACATTGTTTTACATAAAAGAATGCATGCATATGCTTGTGATGATCAAACAATTCGTCTATTTAGTGAAACAATATTTACTTTGAGATTGAAATGTCTGCTTCAGATTCCGTCGACGTCTCCGGAACGTGTGTTTGCAAACTTGACGTTAACATTTTGACTTTACTTGATTTGTGTTCTGTTTCTTTTGGAATGTTACCAAGAATTTTCGTATCAAACGTATGCGCAAACATATTTTAACGGTATTAAAGTTAGTGTTATTAAGTTTAATACCTGACAAAATAATTGATGTATAATTTAGAAATAAAAAAAATAAAAATATATTTCTGGTGTTTTGTCTGAATTTGTCTTATTATTTTATAAATGTGTCAAGAATATCAATAGAAAAGGAAACACCGATAGTAATATTGATACTGTCTTGTAGCAATATAAAGAAACGTTATCTTGACTTTCCACTCATTTGGTCGGAACGACGATGTGCGCTATCTAATCGAAATTATATAATAATGTGCGATGGTCCGTAACAAGACAAGTAAATCAAATATATTCAAATTTATTATTAATAGATATTTAAACAGGTAAAATTAAAAACCAGAAATTAAATGATTTTAAGGATAATACTATAATTATCAGTGCAATAACAATAGCAATTGGTTAAATTGATAGTAATTACAATTTTCATAGTTGATTAATATTTATTAATCAAATGTATCCAATCAAATTGAGGGAATCCTGATTAAATGTTGAATGGTTTGCTTTTGGAATCGCACCAAATTAATTCCAATGTATTCGATGCATCAGTGCTTAACAAAGGAATCGAACAGTTTACGTACTCAAATTGGGCAAGCTTTTCAGTACCTAAAATTAATTATAATGGAAGTGCTGAACAAACGAATGAATCACAACTGATTTCGACCAACAAAAGTATCACAAATACAAATCAATTTTGGGCAATTCTCCTTAATTAAAAATGTTTTTGAATACTAAATTAAAGATTACAAACAAATATTACTCATCTTAAAGGTAATTATTTGTTAAAATAATGTTCTGATATTAAAAAAGTTCTGATTACTTTGTTCCCAAAATTAATTTCGTCTTGATCCAATATTTTCCTTTCAGATATTGGACGTGAGGCTTTACAAGTTTGTACAATTCTAATGTTTGACTTATTGTTCCAGGTTGGGCTATCACCTTTAGTGGCGCCCGCCGAAATCGATCAGCCGGTTGATCTTCGAGCGTCAAGCGAATATTATCCCTTTGCGATCGTATTACGCCTTCGTGTACTTCAGGTAAGCACAAAATTTAATACTCCAACCCGAAATATGAGCAAAATATAGAAAAACACAAAGCGACGCTTGGATTAAACTTTTTTCTGATTCAGATTAAATGGAGTTATATGATGTGTTTATCTTGTCAATTCGTCAACTCTAGAAAAAGTTGAAGATTGTGAGTCTGAGACGCAAGCATCGAGCATACTTGAGAACTATTCATCAACTTGAGAATTTTCATGATATATCGGCATCGATTCCTCGAACTTTTTATGCTCCTTGGTCAGACCATATAGTTATTTGCAGGGATATCCTACGGTTGAGATGTGTTGGTGTTGTCATCGAATCCACTTTCTTGCGCTATTCTTCTCCGAACTCAACGCGCACTTTGCTCTATCGGGACGTCTTTCATGGGAATTTCATTAATTTTTCAGATCGTCTTTGGCATTACATGTCTGGTGATGGGCACGGTTGCGTTCATCGAGGAGCAGGGCGAGCTCAATTTAAGTCTTGGAATTCCGGCAGGCGCATCCACCATTTTAGCCGCAGGTTGGTAAATTTTTTTACACATTCTTTAAAACATAACAAGGACATTTACTAAAAATTCTACCCAAAATTCCTAATGATTTTATACGTAGTTAAAGCTTTAAACTTGAGAAAAATACTAAACGCGATGAATCCTTCGTAACGAGAAGAGAAAATAGTGAAAAGTCTCCAAGTGACGCATCATCAATCACGCCGGAAAGGTTGCTTCCCTTTTGGTGTCTCAAAAGAGACATTCCCATCGACTTTGTTCTCTACGGGCCGGATTAGATATTAAGACCATATACCTATGTCAGATTCAGCCACAAAGTCATTTATCCCTCAAGAATTAAAACAATCAGATTCAATTACAATTAAATAGTAATTAATCAAATGGATTATAATATAAAATACATGTTTTATGTATTTTACTGCTGAATTTAAACTTTTGGCATAAAATGCGTAATTTTATTGCACATATTTAATCTTCGTATATTGATGCACATCAATCCACAGCTATGTGAGTGGTTGCTGAATTTTACACGTTTGCTGATTGCCTATTGAATTTCGCTGACTGTCAATTCAAATCACCCTTGCAAATTGCGTCGATGAAAACGTCACAGCACAGTTAAATTTGCATTTATCATTCTGTGTTTTTTTTTTTAATTTCGTGTGGAATCGGTATATTTCATATTTTTTTTAATATAATAAAAAGCGCGAAATTTGTGTTTATTGATTTCACATCAGCAAAATATTTTATTTATGGTTTAATAATAAGTTATATTTATTTTTGATTGAATAATAAAAAACGGTTTACTGAAACTGAACTAGAGCTAACCTAATAACTCGGTTTGTAAACTTGTTATTTATGACCCGCCCGCAAAAAATATGACCTAGATATTTCTTTTCCGGTTTTCTAATTTATTATTCTCGCATTGTTCAAAACTAAATAAAAATTTAAGGAAAAAACAAAAATATTTATAAAATATCCAGTAAACGAATTTCAAGTTATAAAAATGTAGACGGTTTTTTCAATAACAAACAAAACGTAAACTAAATCTGTTGGAATAAAAATTGATGGGTCGTAAATACCAGAAAATTGAATTTCGTACTTCAACGTTTTAACGCAACGCAGAAACTCTCGAAACCGCAATTTTCGTAAACTGCGAAAAACATAAAAATAGTAGTAGCAGACAGCTCCTAAAAGATTAAAATAACTTATCTGTTTTGGCCAAAGTTCACAGTAAACATAACAATCAAAATGTAAATCAGTTTTCAAACACGTTACGACTTTTTACTCCATTATTCGCTCAAAACAAACAAATCTTAAAAATTTAAGTTTTACGATGCAAAATATTGTGCTGGTTTATTTTGGATTTGTTTGCTCGAAATGATTTCGTTTGCACGTGCCAAACCGATTGCGACTGAGGTGAAGCTTTTGTGCTTTCATAAATCGCGTATGATTGATGGCGGCATTGATGGAAGAATGGATGGATCCATCAGATAAAGAAAGCAAAGCATCGTGCGCGCCCGACTACAAAGTGCTGTTTGGTTTAATAGAGATAAACTCATGTATTGACGTATTCGCATTTTTCGCTTGCAAAATTATATACCGCATACACGTTTCATCGATAATTCTAAATAATAGATTTATCTTTACGCGTATATATATTTTCATTCTCGTTTTATGCATGGATGAAAATTGATGGAGTTTTCTAAGAGAAGATCATAAATATTAATTTTCAACTTTTTCCAATAATATTTGCTAGTTTAATACGTTTTTGATTATCTTCTCCCTGAAAACATTACCATTTTTTTGTTGTGGAAACAAAATTGCGCAACGACAGGGATTTTGATTTATATCCTATTTTTTCAGATATTTTTTCGAACTGAAATCTTTTCTTATGCTATACTTTCTTTATTGATATTGGTACTCACAGAAATTGCCCATCGTGAAGACTCAGTAAGATTGTTACATGCAGCGCGAATAAAAACGAAAATAAGAAAAATGAACCAATTCGACAAAGTGAAATGAAATGCAGAGCAACAACGAAGAAAAAATGAGATACCAACTTCAAAAGGGAAATAAGAATTTGTCTTTCATGTACCTTTAAGAAGCATAAAATAAGAACCTCAATATCAACAGGCAGACATACAGAAGATTGAGAATTTGATATGGTATATAATACTTTTAATTTAATATTTTTTATGCCATTTGGTTCACAAAATTACATTTTCATTCATAATATTCATAATAATTTTTTAATTTAAAACAAAATATTAAACTGTCTAAGATGAACTACTTTTAAAAGCACAGTGCGTAAACAAATTAAGTCAAGAATTAAGTAAAAGGTTCATAAATGTATTTACATATCACGCTGGTAATTTCCTGATGTCATGTCAGAGTATAATCTTTCTGCTTCGTGTCTTCCGACCATCTCTCAACGTGAATGTAGAATGCGCGTTTCGTTTAATTAAGTTACACCACGGACTTCCGGGAAAATAATTTGCCCTTGCAGGTTTCTTACGCGTTACGTCTCACCAATGAGAGAAGGGTTATAAGACCCTTAGATTAATTTGCAATTTTTAGACAGTATATAACATATTTATGATTTTTTGAATAATGTAAATTTGTTTCTTTGTTCTAGCTGCTAGTATTCATACAACTCGAGGATTTGGTGGTTATAGAGCCTCAACATGTATGCCAGGTTCATCACTGCGTTTCCTGGGACCTTCAGTAAAGATCGCGATTCCCTTGTCTATTCTCTGGGCCATGGCGTTCTCATTCCTCACAGCGCTGGCGGTGCAATCAACCAAAACTCTCACGCATCCCCCGACCTACCTCCCCGAAGGGTTCGCCAGTGATTACGTGTACAACACGACGTCAACGAACCCCACGGATTTGGTGATCTTGGCATCGGTGGAGCTGTCTCTAGCGATCGTCACGCTGGTGGTCATTGCAATACTGCTGCGCATCGACTGCAAATACGATCCGGACTGACCCGGACCGCCTGTCGAGCATCACGGCACCGGGGTTGGGGTGAGTGTCATCGGCGGCGTTGGCGGGTTTACAATGCCGTCCTCAACTCAAGCAAATAGCGAGCGGGTTAGCAGAGTTGCCTGGATGGTCTAAGATTGTATTATTAACTGAACTGTTAAACTCAAACTAATACCAAATGTAATTATTTATTATTAACTTATATCTAGCTGTTAGAACTTTGTACCATGTGAGATATTCCTATGAAAAACAGTGTAAACAAGGGTTGTGTGAATATGTAAATGTAAACATTACTGTTTCCTTTTAGGATTTCTTCAGACTTATAAAAATAATTTTGATCAGTGTATCAATAACTAAATAAATAAATTAAATATTTTAGATAGAGTATTATCATTGATAAAACTCAAATTCAACTTTTGTAGGAGCAAATTTAGTTTGCTTTACATGTTTGCCCTTTGCCATCACTAAAAGTTGGAATTCGTGTGGTTACGCAACATTGAAGTATGATATTTCCACGTGCTCGTGATACTGCCTAGCCCTATTCTCAGGTAAACCGTTTCACGTTGGGATGTTTATTCATGGCCGCCGCACCACTGCTGGGTAAATATTATTTTACACCTGGTTTTAGTTTACAAGTTGCACGTGATTAAATTGAATGTAGTAAACTTGCTCTTTATTGCTCAATTTTCAATGCAAACTATCATGGAATATTGCACAATATATAATTAATTGAATATTGACCAAATGTAGCCAAAGAGATGTTTATAATTTAATGTAAATAGCAAGATTAAAATGTTACACAGCTTCGTTTGGTAATTTTGCTGGCTATTTGCAGCGGAAGTAATAAAATTTCCTGTGGCGTGGCGAAAATGCAAATGTATCTAATCCAGCACCGGGCAGAATTTCCATCCACATTACAGGAGTGAAATGCGTTCCGGGTGCATGTCGCTCACCTGCCACGTGAAACTCCCACGTATTACATAAATGATGCAACGTAAAATTCGTTTTATACGTGCACGTTTACTAGTTTATACTTTCATTCCACTCAAGGATTTTAAAACATTTAAAACCTGAAACAAAAATAATATTTTTATAATATAAAAGGAACTTTTTACTGGATGTAAGCCCGTTCAACCTTCTAATTGCCTCAAAATGCTATTTTGGCAAAATTGCTATTTTTGCCAAAAACATAATAATAGAGTCAAAAACCAACGTTGTATTTAAAATTACGAATTTAATAAAATACTACAGCCGAAATTATTTTCTTAATGTTTTTTCGACTTAAATCGCCCAAATTAGTCGAAATGCTCCTCCACCAACAATTTTTTTTAAAGATTAAATGGCAATTATCGTGGAAACAAAAAGAGCTAGAAAAAAAGCACTTCGTATTCTTGATCCTTGAAGAAATATTGAAATGTTTGTATGTATTTTGTAATGCAACCAAACTTAAATAAAAAAATTAAAAAAGATTTTGTCATGAAAAAAAATAACTTTTTAACTATTTTTACAAAGAAATTACATACGCGTGTTTTCCAATCATGTTTTAAAATTCTAAGATAAATTATAATTTTAAGATTAAGGTTAGAATTAATAACACTATTTCAATTGAAACCAACAAATCGTGTAATTGGTGCAAAAGATACATGGTGTTCCTTAACTTTGAAACTTATTAAAAAAATTCCAAATTTTTGTGAGTCGAACCTAGAACTCGACTTTGTGTCAAATGTTTAATTTTGTGCATTGTGTTTTCCAATAAAATTCTCAATAATTTCAATTTTCAAAGTGTTGTGTTTATAACTACATAATATTGAAAATCAGCCACGGCTTTGTTTTGAATTTGTTTATACCTTTCGTATTCATTAATTCATCTGTCAGTTATATAATCATTTAATGACAATACATAATGTCGCAGGCAACATCTTCAAAAATAGATCTCACGAAATCCGAACCGACTAAATCGACTGTTTCGACTAAATCAGTTCACCAGCCACCCGACTCGGCTCCATCTTCACATACACGCGACAGAAGCGAAGATGCCCCAGCCCGCTCATCAGCTTCGCAATACAGAAAAAAGAAAACCAAGCGGAAACGTTCTAAACATCGGCATCGCCACCACCAAAAAGAAGTTACCCAGTTTGATTACGACAAATACGAGGGAGTCGTTCATGTTATTCTTAACGAAGAGGTTCAACATATCCTAAAATGTGTAGTTGGAGAAGATGTTACGGCGGAAAAACCGTGGACCCACATAAAGAAATATTTTATTTCCGAGCAGGTAGAATCTGATGAAGTTCCTCCTGAATATGAGACATTCTTACCATATAAGCAAGCGATTGCCGATTTTCCAAATGACATTATGTTAATTGGATACATCCCTGATGAATCCAGAGACTATGATGAGTATTATTTCTGCTTGACTGTTGAAGTTGAAGAGGCAGTCACCAAATTAATCAAAGAACAGGAGGAACTACAATTAGCTAGATTGCAGAACACTATTAACAAAAAAGTTAGGGAATGGCAAACACTTGGAAGTGAAGCAGAAATAGAAGAAGCATGGATTACAAATACTAGAGGATTGCTAATTGTTGAATTCGAAGCAAAATATCCAATAATAACTGATGATGTAAAATTTCGCATGCGTCTGGTTCACGAAGCAAGAGACGGTTATGCAGAACTCAAAACTGGACCAAGGTATCAAGCTCCAATCCTTCACAAGAAACGAATTGATAACTCCATGCAAGTTGCCCCTATTGTTAGAGTCAACCACGCCCAAACCACTTGCAGTTATCCGAAGAATGTATGGACTCAATATGAATACCACGTAGACTTCATTGAAGACCTCTCAAGGGATTGGATGGCTAATTTTCGATATTTTACCAATTCTCGAATGGAAGAATTATCAGATACTTTAAATGTGAATGGAAACCTTAACCTCTATTCCAACGATTATATGGACCTTGTTGACGTTGACTTTCCCATAGTATCTGATATCGTCTTCAAAGAGTATCAATCTTTCGACGATGTTAAAAGGTGTATGAATAAAATGATCTCTGCGATGAGTTGGCATCCGATGTGGAGTGGAGTCGTTGCTATAGCATACGCCAACGTGTCTCCGAGATGGTACCACTTCGAAACCAAAGAGGAGAATTTAATGCAAAACATTGTACATGGATACAACCCTATTCTCGTCTGGTCATTTAACGATTCATTATATCCCAAATTGATTTTGGAAACAAACGCGGAAGTTCATTGTTTATCATTTTGCCCACATGATCCTAACCTGTTAGTGGGTGGCTGCGTCAATGGACAGATTATTCTCTGGGACATAAAAAACAAACTTACTAAAGTAGAGACTGAGGAAATTCTCACGCCAGCGCAACAATCTTATAGGACCAGGTTATTTGCTGAAATGTCTTGGATGAAGAACACGCGAGATTATTCGTTGGTACCACCAACAGCATTCAGTCAACTGCTGTTTTCACATATTAACAACGTTACCTCCATTTCATGGATACACCCAATGTATAAAATTGAAAATACTGGACACGTGGAGATGGTTTCTGAAGATGAAGCGCCTTCTTTACAGTTTGTATCATCTAGCTCCGATGGTACCATCAAGTTTTGGGACCTGAAACAAAAGGTTATTATATCAGGCGATTATAAACCAGTACGAAAATCACGCCGTTTGGGTAAACGCCCAAGTGCTTTAACAATGGACGTTTCATCGTACAGATTTTTAAATCGTAAAATGCTACCACACTTTGAAGTGAATATAATCCTTCCGGGATCGGAAAAATTATGCCCCGTTGCAAGTATCTGTTTTTCCGCTGATCAACTAAAATACGTTGAGAAGAATCCTGAAATAAAGAAAACTTATAATTTAACAGATAGAATTTCATATGAACCAGTGAAAGAATACTCTGGGACACCAGTGATTCCCGTAATAACTGTCGGTACTTACACTGGAATGGTGATGGCAGCTACCTGGGAAGGTTATGAATATATCTCGGGCGATGTTTGCTCCAGAGAAGATGCAAAATTTATAGCGACTGCAAAATATCACGATGGTCCTGTGTTAGCATGCAGAAAACATCCGGTTTTAAATGGTGTTTACCTTACAATTGGAGGGAAAGTATTTTGTATCTGGATGGATAAATTGAAAGGAAAGCCGTTACTTTGGCGCAGGTCCCGACATAAATACACGCATGGTAATTGGGAGCAAGCAAGCGCTTCTTGTTTTTGGATCACGACATCAAACGGCAGTTGCGAATATTGGAATTTGGAAGCAAAAAGCGATGGACCGTATTTAGAACACATGTATAGCGGTAAACCACTGCTTGAAAGTGAAGTACACCCATTACCGATTATGAACGATACCATGAGGATGGTAGGGATTGCGGACGATCGTGGTACACTGCGTTTGATTCTGTACAATGCTCACAAAGGTGATAATATTGAAGAACAAGAGGCTTTTCTAAAGTTTCTGAACAACAACGCTGATCGCGCTTTAGATTTTGAAGAATGGCAGACGAAATGGACAGATACACATGCCAGTTGGATTAAGGAGCAGGCTGAGTTTGAATTAGCTGAACAAATAAGACTTCGCGAGGAGGAATTGGCGCGTCAAGCGTTTGAAGAAGAACAACGTGCGAAGGAAGCAGTTGAGGAAGCAAAACGTGAAGCAGCCAAACTGCATCCTCCAGTTGGAAAGTACGAAGAATGGGCAATTGATCGTTGGATCCTTAAGGAACAGGAACGCATGGGAATTGAACTTTTAACAAACAAGCGTCTTGATAAAGATACTTTAATGCGACAACAAGCTCCACTTAAAAGAATTGAAGTTGAAGCAGCTAAAAAACAACAAAAAATTAAGCAACGTCTGGCAAAAGTTGAAGAGATTTTTAATGAGACCATAGCCATGTTATTTCCAAACATGGTGGAAAAACAAATTCCAGATGTTTACGAAAAGATTTCTTATACTGACGATCAAAAAGTCGTGTTTGAGGAAAATCTTCTGAACGCGTTTAATGATATTGAAGCTGAGTCGAATGAAGTGATTGAGATGAATCCTTTTGTGTATGAACTAGATTGGAAGAAAATATTGAACGTTACCAAGAACAAGAAGATAAAAGATGCGTTTCATCATACAGAAAGACATTCGGATCGACATAAGCAGTATAAGATTCGCAGAGAGTCGAGCGACGTTTCCTTCTGGTATTACAAAAAACACCAAAAAAAGAACGAAGAAGAGGAGGAAGAGGCGGAAAACGAGGAAGATCAAAACGATTTAACGGACACATATGATAATCTATTTTAATTATATATGAATTCCTATATAAAATATACAATATTAACTAGCTATTTTATTGTTTATTATTTTTAAAGCACATTAACATAAATTGCTCCAAGATACATTAACTATGGAATTATTACATTTTCTTCAAAAGTGGATTATACATCCATAGGCAAACTCAAACAGCCAATCGACCTCTACATACAATACAATAAAATACGTTGCTCACATTTTACAATTTCTACCATATTTCAACGTTGTTTGGAAAACATTGTAATCATCGAGTATGCCAATTTAAACAGCTATATTATGAAATTTAAGTAGGTATTACTAATTTTGCATATTTAACACACATTGAATCTCACCTTATATACCAACGTGTTTGAATATTTCAAACTCGTTCCAATTTTAAGCATAATTATATCATTGGAGTTTAAATGCATCAGCATTAAGTGCTTACTACTTTTCACATCTCCATCCCAGGGACATGCAAAGTAAATTTCATTACGATATCTTTCATTCTAAAAGGAAAATGATAAAAATAATTGAACTATTGTGCTAGTTACAGTATACTATCTCTGAAAGTTTCTCCCCTATAAGTCCAAATAAAATGATTTCCCCAGAAAAAATACAAATTAGCACAATTGCCATAATATTAAATGCCTGTAAAAAATGGAATTGGGTTAAACTTCTAACATTTATGAGTTCAATAATTTTACCATAAATGTGCTTATGATTGACATCGAGAGAATAGAGCTGCAGGAAAATATATGTATTGATATCGGTAATTTATACAAATCGTTAAAGGTATTCCATAATCTGAAATATAAATCAGTGATTTATTTTAACATTGTTGAATATGCTACGCTATTAACCTTGTAATAAACAATTGTAAATTATATAGATCTATAAGTTGTCCATTTCTAATATCCCAGTCGGAAATAAATTTTAATTCTCTTAATTGTTGCGCCATTTCATTAAATGTTACTTCCACATATTTCATGATAAGCAATAATGCCCATAACGCATTCACTATTGGTAAACAAATGTACACGTAACTTATAGCGACACATGCATTGACAATATCTCGGAAAGGTCTTTTCAGGTTGACGAAATAATACTAAAAGAAAAAAATCGATAAAACAAACTAAAAAGTAAAAATAAAAGATAACTTACACTTGGCAAAATGTAACCGCATGAAAAAGGCTCTAATACCAAATCACACTCTTCAAATTCTATTGTAATAAATATAATTATTGCTATTATAAAACAACACAGCGCTAAACACTTGAAACCTCTGGTGCAAATCATCAAGGCACGACTCACGTGATAATTATCAAGAGAAACTCTCCAATTTTTGCTAATCATACTGTAAACTTCAGTTACACCTTCAAAGGTGTAATATTTTATGTAAATTACTATTATCCATGCGATGACACCCGATGAGAATTGTGATATCATAATCACATTTTGAATAAAGTTTAATTCTGCAAATATTTGCAACTATTAATATATGTTCCACATTTGGTGTGCTACTTGCCCTTCATTATCAGTAGGTAACATAGTGGGCCAAATATTACTACAATCGTCGACAATACAAATAGAAACTGTTCAACCAGACTAATTTTCGTATACGCATTTTCAGGGCTGTACCAATATAAGCTGTATACCTTAATTACAAATATGTTCGTCCATTGATTTCCCGTCATTTTAAAATTATTATGATTTCAAATACAGATCAGTGTTTAAACAAGGTGGGCGTGTTGTGAAACACGACTAGTTTCGTGATATAAACGTTCAGACAGATGCATGTGTGAACAGAGTAATCTAATATTGATCCACATTTTGTTTCGATTTTATGATTAAGGCGAATCACAAGCTAAAATCGAAAATGATGGCTTTATTAATAAAGTAAGACTAATCAGTGGGAACAAAAATCGGTGTTGAAGCAAAACACCAATTTTTATGTTTCAATTTGCCTTTTAAAGCGATTAAACACTCCTAAAATAAACTTATTTGATTTTTGAGAAGCTAAAAGTTTGGTTTCCATTTTTAGGTTTCAAAATTTGGGAAAAATTGCAATATTTGAGTTCATACCATGAAAACTAGTGAATGTTATTAAAACTCCGTTAAATTTCTGAAAAAATGTATGTTTAAAAAACAATACAACCGCTGAACACATAATTTACAAATGTATTAATCTAAAGAACAATAACTTGCAGTCACTTTCAATACGATCTCACAACTTTCATAGAGTATGTATGATCGCTTAACGCTGGACAGTGCTCATAATATACATCAACAGGTTCGTTCTTCTCGACATCCCTCTCATCGGGTACACTAGTTTCCAAAATGTCTATATTCTCCACATCCATGTAACTAGGATCTAATATTTCATTTTTGATCGTAACAGAATGACTAAAGTCGTCCACGAGAAGTTGTTTTGTGATCTTTGAAGTTTCTCTTTTAGGTATACATGTTTGTGGTGAATCCTGAGTAATTTTTGACTCTGTATTTGTTGTTTGGTGATCGACGAGTGGAGCATTTTCATCGTAAAGAGTAAGTTCTACAATGGACTCGTTACCTAGGGTTTGACGACCGCTGTAGGTTTTGTCTAATTTTAGATGATGGATAACATCAACAGGTTTATTCAGTTGATTTTTAAACACCAGCTGACATCGCATTGGAAACTCACCCCAACCGCGTCTTGTTAGATGGAATGGATGTTCACTGAAATTATAAAATCAACACTAAATTGATAAAAAGTAATAAATAATTTCACTCACGCAATATCAATTACATCATGTGGTTGATATGAAGGATGAAGATGAAAAACAATTTTCTTGATAAAATCATCAATTCTGGGTCTTTCTGGAGGTCCTCTAATGTAAACCATCCACTTATGAGTGGAATTGTCTTCAGTATTATCTGATGGTATCCATTTTGAGATATTTCCCACAATTATTCTTCTCTTTGTCATTTGTCTATTGCGGGGAACAGATACATTCTCATCCATTTGTTTTGCATTTAAATTAGAATTAATAATTGGTGCTAATGGTTCCTTTTTATCTTCATTACTTTCCAGCTTCTCTTCCATATCAATTGACATCACCTGATTAAATTTCTGGGTTCTTCTAGTCTTCCTCTTAGAAAAGTCTAGGTTTGAAAGTTCAGACTCACTAGTAAGACGTTTCACGGCCGGATGCAGCCTTGGTTGATTGTCTACAAGCTTCAGTTCTTCCTCAGATAAATGCTGCTGAGTTTCCTGTTTGTTATAATAATTGGAGACCAGGACGTATCTGAGCACATGAAGCGTTTTTGCAAGGCATGTGATTCGGTTTTGGATCTCAATGATTTGCTCTTCGCGTTGCTCGAACTCCTTTTGAAAATCTTCATGAATTTTAGCTCTAGCTTTCTCAATCTGTTCGCACTTTTCTGTAAATTGATGTTATTGTTATTTGTTTGAGAGAAATTTCGGGTTTATTTGTTTGTGTACCTTTTTCTCGTCGTTTATTCGCTTCTTCACGTACAGAATCGGACAGTTCGTAGTCCGGATCCATGGCACTGGACACGAACATATGAATAAATCTTATGTAATGGATATAAATAAAATAAAGAAGCTTAAGATGTGATTTGCTTTTGTAATTTGCCCGTTTTACCGGTAGCACAATGTTAAATTGATAGCGTTGATAACCTAGTAAAGTCGACGTGCTCGCCCACATTCGACTATGATAAATGGTCAGGTACCTACAAGGATATTACGGTAAACAAATGAAATTTGAAACGCTGAAGAAAATAGGTAATTTGTAATCATTAAGATGAAATTTCATCGATAACGATGGAGGTAGCCAGTCCGAAGAGATCAGTGTAATAACAATTGTGAAGCATGGCTTAACTTGTTATTGGGTTGGTTATTTACAAAATAACTATTGCACAAAATTGAACAATTATAGCAAATAAAAAGAAATAACTAAGAGGAAGCATACTGTCAATAGTTTGCATGTAGGTATATGTTGCACTTCTTGGTTTTATATTCTCCAGGAAAGCATCATAAACCAGCATATTTTCAATAATTTCAATCATTTTAAAAGAGCAGAAGAATGACAAAACAATAAAAGTAAAATTTCCGGAAATTACACCTTTGATTAATGATATACAATAAATACATAACAAAATGCAGAATTTGAAATTATTTGACATAGTTTATTGGATATCGAGATGATGACATCTCCTTCTTTGGCCTAGAGGTGGCATTCGCTATCAAATAAGATTGTAATTAAGTTGATTTAATAATGGATAACGTATTCTGGGAAGAAAATAAAATTCTAAGTTTTAAGTAGACTCAAGGGAGTCGAAACTTAAAAATATCCTTACAACTGTACCTGAAATGATTGAAGGGGTTCATGCAAAGAATAAGTATACACAGCATTTCTTAACATTTCTTTATTAACAATTTAGCCTACCTAACTCAAACCTAGATGACGCTTTAAGAGAAAAATTTAATAAATTTTAGATTTACAACTAATAGTCAAATTAAGAAAATGGTATCATAAATATATTAATTTATAATTTTTGTTCACAATTGCAAAGTAATTTTGCACGCTGTGCAAAAAACAGTACTTGAACTGAAGCTGCTTTGAGGTTACTTACATTGAACTGTGTAAATATCCTTTTTGTTACATTGGTTTGTAAACAAATACAAATTGTACGTACATACCATAGATATGTCCTCAAGTGACACCATAAATATAGTAAAAAACACAAATGAGCCAGAAGATGCAGAACTGAAAGATGAGAAACCGCAAATCGAGGCAAAATCTTCAATGCAAATTCTCTCTGAATTATTCTCAACATTTGATGCTGAACCTCCTGTAATAGTAAAGAAGGAAAAGGATGATGATGTGAAGAAACACAAAAAAAGCAAGAAGAAGCATAAACACAAAAATAAAAAGGACAAGAAACACAAGAAAAAATCCAAGAAGAAGCGGCGAAAATCTGATAATTCTAGCAGTAGTGATACTGATGGTATTGACCTGTCTGATATAATCAAGACTGAAATCACTCAAACATCTTTATTAAGTGACACACTACAGACACTTATCAAGTCTGAGATAAAACAGGAAGTTAAGGAAGAACCTGGTGAGGCAGACAACTCACAAGACAAAAGTTCAGGCAACTCAAACATCAATTCTGAAAACACAGATAAAAAGGTTGATACCAACAAATCAGAAGTGAAGAATGGCAAAAGCAAAATTACTATCAAAGAAATCAAGGCTAGTTCCTTATTGAACAATGGCACAGAGCACAAAAAGAGTCACAAGAGAAAAAAGCATGAACATCATGATAAACATGATGGAATATCATCAAAGAGAAGTAGACTGAGTAAGTCCAGAAGTAGAAGCAACAGCAGGGACAGAATAGAAAAAAGAAGAAAGGATAGGAAGGAAGGTGACAAATATCACAGAAGCAGGTCTCCAAGATCCAAGTTGGATGATAAATATGATAGGCATGAAAAGTACAGGGACGAGACAAGTCACAGGAGTGATAAGTATAAAAGTGATGACAAATATGAGGACAGAGATTATAGGGAACACAAATCAAATCATGATTCCCACAAAGAAAGAGGTGACTACAGACAAGATAAATATAGAGATGATCATAGGCACAAAAGTGATTCAAGGAGACATGACTCAAGAGATGATGACTTTTACAAGAATTATAATGAAGATAGAAGATTCAAAGACAGGTAAAACATATTCAATATTTAGATGACTATGGTTTATTAATGTTATTTGTTGTGTAGATTTAAAGACCGGGAAAGAATATCTCGAAGTGACGAAAATGAGACGCGTTTTGACAAGAAAAAGCTGCTTGAAATAGCGCGCAAAAACGCTATTCAAATGATGAAAAGTGGAAAACTTTCGGGCGCAATGAATCTGGGCCCACAAGCACAAGAAAAAGTCATCGCCGCAATCAGTGGTGGTGGCAAAACGGTCGAGGAACTAACCGACTTTTGTAAAACTCTTTCAAAAAAAGAAGAACTTGGAGAATTATCCAGTGTATCATCACAAGACGAGTCTGAGAGTGAGGAGGAGGATATGACAATTCGACATCCTTTTCAAATCAAGGAAAAGCAATTCACGATTAATATTAAGGCAAATATAAAATAGTTATTTTTAAATTTAGGTTTAATCTGTTTTCATCTTAAAGAATTCAGTTCCGTTACCGACCAGAACCAATCAGGAACGAGCATCAGAGCTCCGAATTCAATTTCCCGTGAGTAGCGGCCAGCACCATCGTAAAACTGAAAGCGAATGGGTGCCTGTATCACCAAAGAAGACTGATTTACCTACGAAAGCACCTACTCCTGCTGTGACAGCTCCTGTAGCAATAGCTGCAGTTGCAGCACCGCTGCCAATAGAGGCTGCGCCCATACCACAACTTGAAGTACATACACCCAGTTTACAAAACATGCAAGTACAAGTACTTCCTACACCCGGAGTTCAAATCACACCTGGCCCGCAAGTATTTCCTCCTGCATGTAGACCATCTGAGCAGGAAATTGCTTCGATTGTCTCACAACGATTAGCCGCGATGCGTAAGCTGCAAGAGAATCCAAATGATTCACAGGCTATTATCGACATGTATAATGCTCAAAAAGGGGTAAAACACCTAATAAAATACCCTGATTAACCATAATTATATATTGCTAATTTATAGATGAACACTTGGGCCGAGAGCAAACTGCCATTCGGACAGTTTACTGGGACAACCGGGGCAAACATACTGAGTCAAGAGCAACTTGCTTCAGGATATCAAGCGTGGGCTCGGAAGGTACTAACATTTTAGATTTTTTTACATGTTACAGGTTTACTCATTGATCTCAGCATAGCCTTTATCAGAATTGGTTTTGGTAATTTTTATGCTGTTTGTTGTGTCATGAATGTGAAAATGTAGTTTAAATTTAGCATAAATCAGAACAAATGTTTATTGTCAACGACATTTATGCTAAGTTTCAACTTAAATTTGCCTCTCTCTATAACAAATTTTCAGGTTTGCTTATCATTCACAAGACATTTTGTTGTGCTTTTTATTGATCCACTAAACAGCACTTGACCATTAATCAAATGGATTCAATTGCTGCTAGTAAAGTGCTGGTGCATAAAAATCGAAAGAAAGCTCTGCCCGATTTTTATCCAACAGTAAGAACCTGAAAATGTGTTATAGACTTGTGGCAGGCAAAGTTCTGGTCAAAGAAAGGTTCTCGAGATTGGTGGTCGAGCGCGTCGCACCCGGCTGATAATTATATGAAACTATGCTCGACGATTCGATGGTATGGTAAGTCATAGCCAAAAACTTCAACTAAACTTACAACTGGACAAATACAATTGATGCAAAATTTTTATATTCTCTCAACTTAATACTTATCTACTGGGGTTTTAATAGTTTCTGATTGGTCTAGGATCAATTGCAAACAGCGGCACCCGTTTCAGGCGGGATGGGAATGCACCTATTACAGAAAATGGGCTGGCGTCCTGGCGAAGGACTGGGTAAGGAGAAAACAGGTGCGTTGGAACCGCTTCTTTTGGAAGTCAAACTTGACAAGAAGGGAGTAATTGCAAAAGAAGAATGCAAGAAGAAGACCGCAGTGAAAATAATGAAGCAAACGGTAAAAACTTTAGAAGGAAAACATCCAGTGTCTTTATTACACGAGTACGCGTCCAAGAAGAAATTGGGTGCTCCGGAGTATGTGTTGGATTTTGAGTGTGGTCCTGACCACATGAAAAACTTCCTGTTTAAGGTAAATTTGACTAACGAGAGAAAGTACTTAGTATCTTTATTAAAAATTATCTTTAGGTTGTTCTAAATGGCCAAGTATTCAAACCAAATGTGGCGAGTGGTAACAAAAAGGACGCGAAGGCGTTAGCCGCAACAATATGTCTACAAGAACTTGGATTATTACCTCTTTAGACACTATTTATGGAAAATCCTTATGTTTACAGTAAAAATCCTCTATTTTCCTGTGTATTCATGTTCTATCTGTTCTAAGATGGCAGTAGTTGTACGAAATATAAAAATAATCTAGGTACCGGTGCTGCCAACGTATTCAATGACCCCAGTTTTCCTGCTGACAGCAGGAATATTTACAAATAGAGAAGCCGCCTTTGATGTTCCCCGGCTGGCGCAAGTGTGGTGTTTTATTTTCAAGTTCCACAACGCGCAAAACAATATAGTGTCGTATTATTCTTATCTTCATTAGCTTAGTTGTTATTAGGCAATAAATAATAAACGTATTCGCGTTCCATTTGTATGCCAGCATCGTTTGCATGGCGCAAGTGTCATTCCTCATTCCTGCTGCTTTCCAAGCGTGCTATTTCTGTTCAGTTTCGCATGAGGTTCTGCTGCGTTCGACTAGCGTCCAGCACTCGATCAGTCGATTTTCTGCTAGCATTACGTTTTCTGTTTGTTGCGATAACGCAGTACAAAGCAACGCACCGTCATCACTACCAGCGTTCTAGGTAGTTAGCGGTCTTGCCGAATTCCTGCATTGCAGTAGCGACAACGCGGTCTGTAACGATAGTCGTTCATTAGCAGTAGCAGACCTAAAGGTTTTTGATACGTTTGAGTGTCGTTGGTTTTGGGTTGCTCGTTATATTCTTGAAAGATGGACACAGAGATTGAGGACATTCCGGAATCCTTGGTAGTCGGAGGGAGGCGGCAGGACGCCAACTCAAAAAAATGGTATCGCAGTGCACCGCATAGGTGAGTAAACGCGGTATTTCGACCTTGTATATCGTAAACACAATGTCTAGGCTGTTACCGTGTAGAGGTGGATACATTTAACTTGAAAACAAATGTGTTTTCTGAGAATTCTGTATGTGTAAACAAGTAATAAGCATTTTTCCTGCTGCAGGACCTTTTCATGCTTTGCAGTTAGGCATCCCAACATACATGGGGTGTATAACTTATTTAAAACATTGTTTATCGTTTGTTGCTATATGGCGGCAAGGAGCAAAGGTAAAATTTTAAATTGATTGAAGTAGGAACGGATTAAATTCCGAGGAGGTATAGGAGTGATCATAAAAATATTAGGCAATTAGGGATACCAAAAACAAATAAAAACATTAGCAATCTTCGCGGAAAAGAAATATAAGCCGGCATGTTTACGTTCTGCAGTTTCGCCATCTATGATCATACTCAATTTGGAACGCAATTTTAAGGGTCAAGGTTTCCAGTCTTCCAGTTTAATGACATCACACATTATCTTATCTCATGGTGACGATTGTGTCAGACTCTAGTGTAGTTTGAGTAAAAGCATGAATGACGAACAGTGGAAGTTTTAGATAATGTTCTTACTGTTTCTCAACGTCTGAAATTATTCCAACGCGTTTCGAAGTGCTTGCTCAAGAATTACGTAGTTTCATGCGTGACTTTGTCGTGCAATCACGAAATATTATCGATCAAAACTAACTACACTACACGCAATTTCTTGTAAATCCTTTCCTGCTTCACAAGTCTTTTAGTTGCACTGCGAGCTTTCCACCTCCTTAGTCACAAATTGTTCTCACACGTTGAAGCAATAAACAATAATTAGAAAGTTAATTAAAAGCATCTGTAGTGCTTATCAAGAGTAGCAAAGGTCGCGTTTTGATTACAGTTGTTTCGCGTTTTTAAACTCAGTTTATTACTAACAGTGGTGCTAGAAACATATTAAATTATTGTGGCTCAAAGCGAAAGTTAACACTAAAACAATGCCTGAAATTGGTCAAGCTGCTTTTGAGGATAAGAATCCAGTGGCCAATGCGATAAGTGCGGAAGTATTACGCGCTCGCGCTAATTCGTCTTCCAATGCATCCAAGCCGAAAATGCCGTGGGAGGAAAGTGAAGCAAGTGATATTGAGAGCAGTTTTCACGGCGCGATGCCGAAGGAACATGCATGGATCGATAAACGTGAATGGGAACATAGGTAACACATTAATTCATAATATTAACATAAAATGTTTTAAAAATGTAGAAGGTATTATTATTATTAATATTTTACCTCTGCGGCCTACTAACTTATTCAGGTACAGAAAAATATTCGAATATACCAAAGAAAGTATTATTTTTTCTCGTCAAAAAATAGAATTCTGAAGATACGATAAATTTTAATAATTTATCGTGAAATGTGCTAAAAATTTATATTTTGCGTTCAATTTGAATGTTTAAATGATCATTTTTCACCCTTAGTATACAATATATGAATTTTTTATTTTATAAAATGTGACTTAAAAAATGTAACTAGTTAAAAATGTATCGCCTTGTCAACAAGTCCACATCAAACGCAACATTTGAACTTGCGCTTGCGGCCGATATGATAATATACGGCCGGTTGCTTCGCAAAGCATTCAAGGGTAATTAAAAATAAAATATTTGCGCGAATACCGAGAGGTTGCCAAGTGGATGTTTGACTCGCCTGCCTGTGATTTATTCATCTTGTCACGCATCGGAGTTTTCGGCAACGGGCGCGCACCACGCAACTACGAGTATTTGGCAAAGGGGGACCAACCTGATCGATTTCAAATTGCATTTAGGTACTGTTTTGAAACTCAGGTGAAAAGTCCTTGAAAATAATTTAATTTTTACTTAAGCTTTAACAGTTTGCAGAATTTATTTGTTTGCTTGGTAGTTTGAAAAGTCGAAATTGAGTCACAATGATTGAAAAGCAATTGGACTCGGTATACATTCGTTTCGTGGCTGGTTGTTTTGCGCTTCACTTGCGCACGAATACAGTTCAGCGAAAAGGTCATGATAAAAACGGTATAGTTGTGCGCGGAGCAAACATTCACGCGTTGTGCAATGTCAATGAAGGCATTAACTAACGGATGTAAGACATATAGATGCCATCATTTCAATGCTATAGGAATCCTATTAATAAAATTTTGGAAAGTAGGTTAGTGCAAGTAACCTAGGACCAGAAAAATAGCTTAAAATGCACAAATCACTTTATAAATAAAAAATGTTTTAGAAAACATCAAAATTTTAGCACTAATCGGCCTAATTGTTTGTAAATGTTGAAGAAAATTTATTATAATAAGTTTTTTTGCGATTTGCAGTATTTTTCCAAACCATTCGCAATTACCATCAGAATTTGTACAGTGGAGGAGAAGTGGAGTATGTAAAAGGAAGAGGGGTAAGATGTGTGTGAGGGGTAACAAGTGACAGAACAGGAATATTTTCTATATTAGAAGGTGTTTTTAGAAAATAATAGATAATTTTAATATTTTATTAACCGTTTGATAGATTATCAGAAAGTAAAACTCAGATTACATTTCAAAAATTTCTAAAATTGAATAATCTAGGGTAATTGGATTAAACTGAATAGCTGAGTAGATTGAACAACGTGATTTTCCTCTAAATTAATGAATCATACGACATCCGCTGACAAAATTTCCTCTGAATTGCCTGAATAATGTTTGCAGAATTCCACGTGCAATAAATTTTAAACTAAGTACCTAACAACCAATAAAAATCAAGTGGATTTTTATCATTACATAATACATTAATGATGCATTCCAATATAATTTGCTATAGTTCACCTTTAAATCTATTAAAATGTTTTTAATGGAAATTTTTATTGGAAAGTGATGCAAGAGTATTCGAATTTAATTGGTTAATTACATTTTACGAGTGCTTCATTTCTCACACCGCTTTTCATCCATCTACAACGGAATACCATGTGTACCAACACGAAAGCTAAATTAAGTTTCCGTTGTATTTGCGCTTGTGTTTGGACTTGTTCCTGGAGGCGATTGTTTATTCTTCTACTCTGGGCATTGGAGAACCACGCGTGCATTTCTATTCCCGCGTGGGCTTAACTGTCGAGCCCACTCTTTTAACTTTAGATGGAAATATGTATTTTCATGGATGTCCGTTTTATACAGAGTACTCATGCAAAAATAAGCAAAAGTTTGCTTTGTGTACTAGTTTTTAATCATATTCAAATCTGTTTTATTGACCGATTATTAAAGTTTTAATAAAATGAACTTTACTTTAAAAACCAGGTGAATAGGGTTGTTATTCTAGGAGAAAAAGAAATTTCAATGATAAAAGCAATTGAAATAAACTCCACAAATGAAGTGAATCACTATTTCTATAAAACACTTAATTTTATAGCTGCATTTTTATACATCTCACAATGTCACTCTCTGTATATAAATCGTCCACATCTTTCCTGTCAACTTCCTACTCGATGTACTAGATCTCTTAACTACTACTACATAAACAACAAAGTGCACTTTCGTAGACTAAACATGAACGTACACTTACGTAAACACGTACACACATACACCTAGGCATTTGTATTCTACACTCGTTTAATCGATTGGACGATAAATAATTATTTTGCTTTGTCAGGCAACAAGTTGCGAGCAAATACATGCAAATTGCATTTTTATGATGCGACATCCGATGAAGGTAAACTTTTACAACTCAATAAATAATGATTCATCTTGTTACATAAAATTATATAGAAAAACTTGACGCTTTTAGATGTAGTTTATTTTAAATTAACTTTTCCATTATTATATTAATCTTAGATAATCTTAGATCAAATTTTGGATTATTATAGTAATCTTTGACAATTGTTTGATAAATTGGTATTTCACATAGTTACCTGTACGTAATAATTATAAAATAGTAATTTTGTAATGCATCATACATTTATCCATGTAAATCTGCTATTTTTAAACCTAATTAGATTTGGAATATTTTACAATGTACTGACGTAGACAGATAATATTTGTACTTATCACTAACATTGTTCAATTGTTTTCTCATAAATGAACTAAGCAAATATTAGCATGTGATGCATTGTCCTATACAGTGTTCATCACTTCAAAGGTCAAGCTTAATATTTTTTATAAATAGTTTCAAATTAATAGTTTCAAATTGATAATTTCCGATTTTTCTAAAATTTGACACGTACTAAATTGGATAATCACGTCGTTAACACGAGAAACTAGCGTTATAAAAACGTGCGATAACATTATGATCAGGCGGAAACTCAGGCGTGACTAAATTTCTTTGTAACGTTTAAGTTTATTGCATTTGTTGATGAAATCGTTGATTGTCGTGAGGCGGTGTGTACTTTCGAAAAGTTTTCGCCAGCAACGCGCGTCGCGCGGATTCATCGTTTATTGCAACGCGCAACTTCACGCGACGCGCATCGTTCATACACATCGCGATCAACGTATCAAAATATTTTCGCGGCAGTTTTTCACTCCACTCGCCGGCATTTGATAGAGGTCTGTGTACGGAATATTTATAAATACACGCCGAGTGGTTGTGCGCAGTATGACATTTCGATGTATAAATATTGAATGTGTTTGAAATTTGACTAGTGGGCGACGATCATCATCGTCTCATGATATAAACTTTAAAGGTGCAAAGAGGATCAGTTACAAAAAGTTTCGTGAAGCGAATTGAGGTGGTTAATAACATAAAATCAGTGTGTAAACTGCAAACTTGAGTTGAATTTTATTAAAATGCATCTGGACGACTTGAACTTTGCGCATTCTGCGCTTAGGGAAGATATTATTCCTCCTAATGAGTAAGTAACTAAATTTGCTAATAACTCAAATTTGAATATTTATTAATTTTGTCTTATTTGGTTGTTATTTTAGTCTTTTCATTATAATATTACTATTTATTAAATTAAATTGAATATTTATCTCCGATTCAAAATTTTATAAGTTGTAAAGTTTATTAATTTAATAATCGGAGTTACGATTATGTCGATTCTAGGCTTTTGTTGACGTGTGTCAGCGTAGACAATATTAAATCGACAATATTATATAATTATTACTAATTAATCCGATAATGAAACATTCTTAAATCGTCCACAAAGCAATTATTTCTTAAATTTCTTATTCACAATATGAATTTGAAATCCTTGAATTGCTTTTTGCTAAACGTATTACCGCACAATAATTGTTTATTCACCTGTTTTGACAAAATCAACGTCATTTTGAACTTTTGTTGGCAATGTAAAAATTATTCTTCAAATGGATGTTTGCACATGCTCGGCTTGCCAGATGAAAGAAAAACAAGTACAAGATGCAAGTACCGATAGCAGCAAATCCGACATACCCAGAGAATCCGAAGTCCCCGAACACAGAGTAGCGGACTACTATCAGAGCACCTCTATCCCCCGAACAAGTTCACCTACTCCACTCTTAACTTCCTTGCTGAAACACCGCCCTCCTTCCGACAGCTTCACCTCAGTCACCACAGATAAATCAGCTGACGAAGAATCTATTAGCAGTGATTTTGAACGATACTGCTCGAGTATTCCTATTCCGGTACTACCCGCAGGCGCTAAATCGCAGGCTGTCATTCGTCAGGACGTTAGATATAGGTGATGAAAAGTTGATTAGTTAAAAAGTAATTATTCCGATATAAATGCATTGATTTTTAGTTTAAATCTATTTGTTTCATTATCTACGATAAATCTATTAACATGCTATCATTTTTATCATGCGTAGTACCAGCATGTTTGTGCTGCTCGTCAAAGAAGCACATTGTTTGCGCTGCTATTTTAGGACGCGGAGTAACTCAATAACAATATTTTTCTCGGAACAAAGCAGCCTGAATGTGACAACAAAGCGGCACAATCGCGTTATGTGGCCAATGGCATAATAATTGTAAGCACAAGAAAGAAGTGTCCGCAACACTATAAATATATTTATGTGATATTGGTGACAGTTGTGACTTGATTAAATAATATTTAAAAATACATAATAACATATGAGATTGTTTACAATGTAGATGTTGTTTATTGATGGTAAATCAATTGGAAACTTTTATAAAATTTTCCGATTTTACGACACACGATTTAGTAATTATTTAAAGGTATATATTGATAAGTTTTAATTTTTATGTGTGATATTAATAGAAATAAAATTAATATTGTGTTTTTTTAATTCCAGAATCTTTGTAAATCGAAGCTTGCATCTTGAAAACATAAAATTCTATGGCTTTGATATGGATTATACGCTTGCAGGTAAGTGTCTCGTGTCTCGCAATTGCTCGCAATTACCTCGCGATTAGTTATAAACCGCTATAAATAGATTCTAAACCGTGCGCGCACGTTTGCGCTTCATCGGTAAATTCACTCGCCTAACTAACACCTGCATAACCAAATATCTATTTATATAGTCTTCCCATTATTAAATAATTAGTGTTTAAATATAAACATGTAATTTTTAGCTCAAATTAAAACCAGAAAATGTTATTTCGTCATTACGAAATGTAAATTAATCAGTGATTAGGTTAAAATGAAAATATTTATCACATAAATACAATTCTGTAACTTTTAACACGTTTGTAATTAATAATAATGAATTTATTTCAGAATACAAATCTCCACAGTTCGAGCGACTTGGTTTTGACCTGATTAAGAAACGAATGGTTTCAGTCGGCTATCCGCAGGAAATCATGGAGTTTGAGTACGATCCTACATTTGCCATCAGGTGAGTTTCAACTTCAACCAGTTTTAAATTTAAAACAAACGTTTTAATTATTTATATATACGACATGTTTAAGCATTCAAGCAGAATTAATCAAGTTAAATTTTGATTGATTGTAAACACTTTGCATGATGCATAAGTGAAAACTTTATAATTTAATCAATCAGCTTTCGAACACCTCATTTCGAATTTGATATATTTTTAGAACTTTAATTACGTTTTGGTGCGTTCTGCAATTCGAGTCAAGAGCATCGGAAATAATGTTGCGGCACAGCGCGATCGCATGTTAACAACTTGTTACCTTGTTTCCTTATTTTCCGCGCCACACAATTCCTTTTCAAGTGTAACTTGTTCTTCAAAGTTGAAGGTTACACCTTCAACACTTGTATAATACTCAATTTTGTTTTACAGAGGATTATGGTTTGATACTCTGTACGGAAATTTGCTAAAAGTGGACGCATACGGCAATATCCTCGTGTGCGCTCATGGCTTCAACTTTTTAAAGCAGTAAGTCCTTCCGATAATGCCAATAATAAAGTTTGATTGTGATTGTAACTGCTTGCAGCTCTGATGTGTACGCATTATATCCGAACAAGTTCCTGCAACTGGACGAATCACGCGTGTACGTGCTGAACACGCTTTTCAACCTGCCGGAGACTTATATGCTTGCGTGCCTCGTTGATTTCTTCTCTACTTCCGAACAGTTTTCCGTAACCAAGACTGGTGTCAAGGATGAAGTTATGTTTATGAGTTTCAAATCCATTTGGCAGGTAGAAATATTACGAATATGAAATTATCAATTGTATTACTACAATTTGTTTCCTGTTTTGTTGTAGGACGTAAGAAATGCCGTCGATTTTGTTCATATTACAGAATCACAATTGAAGAAGAGTACCTGTGAAGATTTAGACAAGTATGTCAAGAAGGACGAACGCCTGCCCACGTTTCTCACACGTATTCGTGAGAGCGGGGGTAAAACCTTCCTGCTTACTAATAGCGATTACAACTACACCAATAAGATTATGACTCATTTGTTTGACTTTCCTCATGGTGCCAGAGTAAGTTTTACTTATATTAACAAATATTTGAACTTTAAAGGTAATTTTGTGTCTGTGTTTAATAGCCGAATGAACCTCATCGAACCTGGCATACTTATTTTGATACCATTGTCGTCGACGCACATAAACCATCCTTTTTCGGGGAAGGCACCATTCTTCGACGGGTGGATACGACAACTGGAGGCTGTCAACTTGGTTTGCACATGGGTCCGCTCAGTACGGATCATGTTTACTCAGGAGGCTCTTGTGATGTTTTTACTGAATTAATCGGTGCAAAAGGTAAAGATGTAGTGTACGTGGGCGATCACATTTTCGGCGACATTTTGAAGAGTAAGAAAATCCGCGGGTGGCGCACATTCCTCATTGTGCCAGAATTAGTGCGCGAATTGCACGTGTGGACAGACAAGTGTCACTTGTTCGAGGATTTGCAGTTGCTGGATATCAAAATGGGTGAATTATACAAGTAAGATATAAACGTCCGAAATCTTTATCGAACAAATAAATACGTTTGATTTTCGTTATTTTTAGAAATTTAGACAGCAGCGCAAAGGAAAAGCCAGATATTTCCAGAATTCGCGGGGCTATCCGCGATGTCACGCACAAAATGGACATGAGCTATGGTATGATGGGTAGCTTGTTCCGTTCAGGAAGTCGTCAGACATTCTTTTCGTCTCAGGCAAGTGCATAATACTATTAACTAAAATAAAAAGCATTATACAATGAAAGATTTTCGATTTAGGTTGTCAGGTATGCAGATTTGTATGCGGCTACACATCTGAATTTGCTGTACTATCCATTTTCGTATATGTTCCGTGCACCAGCAATGCTCTTGCCCCACGAGTCTACCGTAGCGCATGAACAAAAGTTCGTCCTGGAAAGTCAACCTTCACGTGCTGTGGCACATTTCGAGGATACGCCCTCCACAACAAAGCCACATGTTGTAAGCATAAACCAAACTGGTCCAGAAATTATGTATGTAACTTCTTTCTTTAGGCTATGCAACGACAGAAAAGCGTAGTGCCTCACGTACGTCCAGAAAAACCTCGCACGGTGACGCACAATCACGACGAAGACTACTCAGACGACGACAGCGAGGAATCGCGGCAAAGGAACACCATAGATGTCTCAACGTCCGCGTCTAGTGGAAGCACATTTTAGATTCCGGGCACAATCAAAGGTGCAGATGTGCAGTAATGTTTAAATTCAATAAAATGTTACAAATTCATAGCTCCTAGATTGTTGATGCGAGTTGCGACGAATTGTTCATCATTTTTATTCATCGATTACGAGTTTCGTTGTTGACATTTTGATACGAGTTAATTTTTTATGTGAAGCAATAGGTTTTGCATTGATTGCATTTATGCTAATCGGAGAAGCAATGAAAGCTATTAAGCAATACGACGCGGATATTCGCACGCCGCTTTTATCCAAGTTACGAACAAATCGTTTTTACATAAGTAGAGTATCTAAATATTGCAGGAGGTATGAGATGTTGATATTGTCAAATTGAAATTTTTAAATAAATATTATGCATAATATTTATTGTGATTATACTCCATTAAAGTAGTAATTCGTCCAAATATTCCTCCATTTCTTCATCCCTACTTTTTGTTTCAACTGGTTTTACATTTTCCCATGGATTGCTATCTTTTTCTTCATTACTTCCAGTCTCTGGTTGTTCTTCATGTGAAGAACTAGGTTTATCATCACTGGAGTCACTATCAGATGAATCCTTCTTAGCTTTCTGCTCTTTGGGCTTACTTTTCCCAGTCTTTGATGATTTCTTTAGCCTCTTTACTTCTCTTTTCTTACTGTGATAATTCAGTTTCAATGAACACTCTGGACACAATCCTAATATAAAAAACTCAGATTAAAGAAGTTGAAAGATATGGTAGAGTAAAGATATAACCTACTTATTTTGACCAAAGCATTCTTTTTTTCTTCATTCTCCACATAGGCAAAGTTTACTTCCCAGGTCCTTAGATATTTCTCTATTGTACATGACTTATTCCCACATATAAATTGGCCTTTTCCTATAACAACTTCTTTCTCTATCCGCCATCTCATAGCTATCTGACAATTATACAGTTAGTTATCTCTATTATTCAACAACTTTAATAAATTGTTTAACAAACCTTGTTTTCTTTGTAATGACTTAGATCACAGATGCAATACTCCTTAAATAGTCGGTCATAATACTTTTTGGCAAACTGCTGTTCCCAGGTGATAGTTTCATCGTCTTCATCCCATAAAAATTTATGGTTTTCACGTATCACATCAATATCTCTTCGATCCTTAGAAGTATCGCGACGTAACTTGCTTGTATCGCCTGATTTTTGTAGCATATACTCGTTGATTATCTTTTTGTGCATGTCATATTGATTTAAATATCTGAAAGAATCTCTTAAAGACATTATTAGATAGTTTTTCTATGAATATTTTATGTTTAAAGTTGAGTTTATCACGATTGCAAAAATTATGTACGGCGTTATTTATTTTCGTCAATATTTTGTTAGGTTAGTACCACGTACTTTTGTGCGGTGCATGTGAAGTTGCATATAGTTTAAGCATATTCTCAGAGAAAATTCGAAAACTTGAAAATCTGCATAAATCCTTTAATTTATTCATAAACTGTAAGTTGTAAGTCAAGCAAACATAATCACGCAGCTTTAATGAGATGATTAAATATATTATTAACGCTTAACAACTTCTGTATTTATAATGAACGCATAAAGAGATGCGAGTTTTTAAGAGATAAATTATTTTGTATTTTTTCCTCTTTTTCTGAGTTGTTTTGATATTAATTTGTAACAAATTGAATATAATCTGGCACTTATAGACATATTTTATACCTGTGGCTTGTATTGCGTGTACACAGGTAAATAGTCATTAAATTTATGATTACATTAAATTTAATTGATGTCTACTCTAGCTCTTTGCACAGGAAAGTATTTTATTAATAACACAATTTAAATGAAAAGCATGGTTGGTTTTGTTAATAATTCTATTATCCAATACTATACATTTGTTTAGCAAAGTCCAACTAAATAATTTACATAGCATAATAGAATTTAAAGTTACGAGCGAAGGGAAATTGTTTTCGGGAACATTTTATGCATTTAAACAATTGGCTAGAGCAACTATAACAATTTAAATTGATTTTATAATGCCATCCAAAGAGCTGGGGCGTTTTGTCATGCTGCGTAGTAATTGAATTTTGAATTATTGAAAATTGAAATATCGGAAAACGCTCGGTTGATAAAGTTTTGTTCGGGCGCGGTTGGGCAATAATACCGCTTAACAATATTATCATTGTCCCGCAGCACAACTCGATAAAACGCGTTGTTGGCTCGGATATTATTATTCAACTACAGTTGAAGCAGGAATTTTTTGTACAAAAATACTAGACACGCAGCGCAATTTCTACCAAATTTTGCGTTTTATGTGTAGTTTTATAGTTTAATAAAAATTACGTGGGTATAAAAGTTTGCGAAATGCAAAAAGAAAGAAAATTGGAAGAAGATTGTTTTTGATTTTAAACATATATGAACAAAAAGTCAAAATGATATAACTAGTATAAATAGTGATGTCATAATACCTCAAAGCAAAATCGTTATTAGCCTATCCCTGTGCTCACATTTTAACGAGTTATTAGAAAAAACATCGGAAATATAAAAAAGCCGCCAGTAAAAGGCTGAACGTAAATGAAAATTTTATTTGCCTGAGCGGAGGCGGTGGTAAGCGTCCACCCCCCTGGCAGGTATATTGTAATATGCAAAAAGTAGTTATAAAATGAACGATGGTTGTTTTTAGTATTGTGAGCGACCGGCGTGTCGTAAAAGCGTTTTTGCGACGCGCTCGCCATCGAGAAATTTACGCCCGTTAATAAAGGAGTTTATGAATGTGTAACATTATTAAATAAATAGCTTCTCGGTACATTACGATAGTTTCAATTCCCGTTTTTACGGCAAAGGAACGACGCTCATCGCGACCGATGGCAATCAAAGCGGGCGTCGGGAAAGGTCATAAATTGCAGTTAATAACATGCTTTTGTTCACCAATGTGCTGGAGTTCTAATAAAAAGCACTTTAAAAATTGTTTTAAATAAATGAACAACACCTACAGACTACCTACTATACATTTAGGTAACGCATTTGAACTGAAAATCAAATTATTGAGGTTTATGTTTTGTTTAATGCACAAAATAAAATATTTATTAAAAGAAAACATCAAAATTGTTGAATAGTAGAAAATGTTTAAGATTCTATATTCTGATCCCGATGGTATTTTCCGATAGAAATTGATGTTATCATGTTAGGCCTTTTCGGGTATCGCTGCGTCTCGAAAGTCGATAATAAAGTTATCAAAGTCGCATTTTCGCCGATCAATTTTTGATTAGGCCGCAGGGCCGCTACCATCAATAATTGATTGGAGTGCGTTAGGGCGGCTGATTAGCTGCCAGCCGGGCGGTTGCTGGCGAATAAAGGGTAGCGGAAAATCGTATATCCAGAAGTTGATACGTATTTATACGTTGTAATGCTCTGCTTTCAATGTTTCACGACTTTTCGGGTAGTGAAAAAAACCCTGACATGAAGGAGCGGTAGAAAATTCGGTAATGCCAACGGTTGAAAACACGTGTTGCCGATGTTTTCAATTTTCCAAGCAATACAAAAAAAATCTCTATTATATTGCTAGAAATAGTTTACACAATTTTTTTTTAAATATTGCAGGTAATATTAGTATTATTTTTACTCTGAAATGTATAAAAATTAAATTATTTAGATCTCAAAATTGTGCGTTTTATTTCTCGTACACTGCAACAAATTTTTTCACATTACTTAAAAATGCATAACGACAACTATGACAATATGCAGCACTGTTGCTTATTAATGGATGAATGAATAACATAAATTTTAATTGCTGTTTAAAAATCCTATAATAAACTAACCTTTATTTATTCCGCATATTGTAGTTTTTGTTATTTACATTTAATAGTAATTGTGCAATACATTTGTGATTAGATGCTTGAAATAAATGACGCGTACGGTAATTTAAATAACGCATAGGTAAGGAAAATCAACCCCGGCGGGCCGAGCCTAAATTATAATTTCGCGCTGACGCTGACGTGTTTATTCCGTTAATTAAATTACGCGCTTGCGGATATCTGCGCGTTTGCGGATTTCGTGATTCGCGGGGGAGCACGGGGGTGGTCGGGGGGCGCGTTCCAAACGGGCCGGGCTTGCCCAGGGGATTGGTACGCAAGGAAGAATTACTGGCCGTGCGAATCGGACATGGCCGAAACATGTATGCCGACCGCCGGGAGACAAGGTACGCACCGAAAATTTTGCCAAAAATTCCAACCAGAGAAATGTTTTAGAGCCGAAAATTCTTAAAAATTGCACATGGCATTTGTAATGAATGTTCGTGATTCAAAGAATTTTACATGAAAATTGGGTATAAATTGAATAAAAACCAAAAATATTTTTCTATATTAAGCAATATTTATGTTTATGGAGTTTACGAAAAGTTGATTGAATTTAATCAATTGTTTACAGGCGTTTACCGCTAGTAAAATGAATGAGGTTTGAATACCCGAAAGCAAAACACGTGCATAATACATTACAAGACACGAAAACCGAATCTGAAGGAACCGACCACAGTATGCGGTTTTCCACGAGCACACAAACACGCAGACTAACAGAATGATTATTATCCAATGCTAGATTATTCCTTATGTAAATGTTTGACGCAAATTTTGAATGTGAATGTAAATTACTAGATACACACGATCGCACATGACGAATGCATTCAAATCTTTACAAAACAAAATACCCATTATTTACTTTACTTTGAACACGTAAATTAATATAATTACATAATCAAGTCAATTTTTGGTTTAATAATGTTATTATATATAATATTGTGGGAATAATAATAAGAAAAAGTCCTCAATGTTTGTTTTACTAGATGAATCTTTAACTTGTTTTATCAACAAGTGATCTTTTATTCAATTAGCGCAAATGCAGCGCGGGATTCGAATAAATGTGAATCAATTATGAATCGAATAAATTTGAATGCGCAATGTTAATCGAAACGCGCCTCGACTTGCGATTGTCTCCGGACGTATGTTAATGACGTGCAAATGTATGCGGTTGCGTTTGTTTCGAGTTTCGTTTTGCGCTGCCTCAGCTGCCGTCTGGGCGATTTTTTTTTCGCCGAGCGCTTTTAAATTAATTAAACCGCTTCGTCGATTCAAAGTTCCATTCGCGCGACTAATTTTTCCGGCGATAACGATACTGTTACGGCTATCGCCGTTTGTGTTAATGGATAAAATCGACGCACGAGTTTTATATTAAACCGGGCAGTTCAAAACGCTTCTCATTAAGTGCACTTGTGCCGAAACTATCATCCATTCAGTTTAATGGAGTTGCAAAGTGTGTGGTGGCGAACCATTTAAACATGTTAAACTTACCAAATATTGGTGTTACATTGTAGTTATTCTAAAAATTGGCAAAAAATATTTTTTTTGTTAATATTCTGTTGTAATGCACAAAAACATCAAACAATTTGACGAGTTTGTTGAAATGTTTAATGAAAGAGCAAAATTTAAAATCTGCAATGTAAAATTTGTATGCATAATGTTTTATGAAAATTTTGCGTTTGTTCGTTTTTCTTTATTTGCTCATTTGTCCACATGCACAATTTCTACAATTTCAGTCGCGATTACAGTTGCATTTTCCCAGTGCGCAATGCCTAGCGCATTTTCAAATAAAACCATCAAAATTATTTATGTTGCGTGATGGCGATAACAGTAATGAGTTTTATCGCTTGTGCTGAATGCTGATATTATGGTCGCCCGGCGCATCCACTCTCGCTCCTTGTTCGTTCTGACAGTTTTGTCGCGTTGTCCGCTGTCTTTCTATTTCCAACTCTGCATTTAAATATGATCATTATTCATATTATAAAAATATAATCAACATTATTTAGAGATATCTACACATATGCTGTTTAATAATAATAAAGGATTTTATTAACAAAAATGGCCTTTTTTGTTCTAAAATAACATATTTTATTATTGAATGAAGTCTAGAAATTTTATACATATGCAATTAAATAAAAAAATCTATATTTTATATAAAAAATAACTGTAAATATAATATTTTTAATTAAGGATTTATCTGTCAACTTTGCAATTTAGTTGGAATGCAGTAGTGAATAGTGGGCGGCAATTTTATTTAATAGCCTGCGGGATCCTATTGTAGATAATTGTGAATGTACCGAAAATTGCAATCCTTTATTGCTTCTCTACGTATGCAAATATTTTTATAAACTCTAAAAATGTATAGATTTAAATGACTATCATACAAAATAAACTAAAATATTTACTAATAACTAATTTAATTAGTGAAAAATGAGAGATAAATTTTTATATATTATTTATGAATTTTTGGAATCATGTGGTATTCAAAAGCCGTATATTATTAACGTTGGCAACGTTGTGCCAACGCAATATTGGTGCTAGTGTTGTTATT